TGTTTATAACTACAAACCTCCCCACGTAAAAAATTGGATAATTAGTGACAATATCTGAAATGATTTCTTCTATTTGATAATTTCTTATTACAGTTTTTCGGTGTAACTTTTGTGCCAAAATCAAAAGTCTTTCTACCTCTATTAAAATCAAATCACACCACCATATTAAAACAACGGTACCGCCCTAAAATAAAGTAGGTATCTCGTGTATTTATAAAAAAAAACAATTACCGTAGTCAGAATTAAAAAACAGGCATTAGAGACAATGACTTCATCATATTCATTTTTCTCATACAAAAATCCACTTTCAAAACTGTCATCAAAGTAATTAAGAATCTGTAAACTTGTATATACAATTATTAAAAGAAAAGGCCATCCAAACACTTCGTTGAAATGCTCTGTAGTAACTTTTAACAAACGAAGAGTATTTTTAATTCTTTTAATTTGATAGTCGTTTACATTGGACAACAAAATGGTCACACTTTTGTACCCTTGTAGTATAATATCAAGAACAACATAGAGTAGATACTGGTAGTAAAACAACATGTATGACTGAATCATTTCTATACCATACTGCTTGAAAAATTCGAATCCCATTACATCAGTCCATGCATATGCGTCGTAAATAGAAACAATCCAAAAAATAACAAAAGTGATAACAAAACTCGTATAATGATTGTTGGGAACAAACAAAGTTGAAAGTTTTGTTAATTCTTTGTTGGTGCGAATCCAAGTTTTTCGTTTCCAAAATGATGCAACAATAATTATTAAACAATTAAAAATAAACAATGTCGCGTCCATTAAAACAGCGATTATAAGTTTGATGTGAATAAGACTCATGTAGTCCGATTTCTTGTAAAATGTCGCTAGTGCAACATTTAATGAAAGAAACAGTAAAATCACACTAGGAGCCAACATGTTTTTTGATTTGATAGGTGCGATTATCAGAATTTTGCCCAGTTTTAGTAAAATTAATAATAATTGTGGCATTTTGCACTACTCAAATCAACGAACACAAGAATAAGTATTTTTTTATTTCATTATTTTAATTTAATTGTTACAAATTATTTAATTATTGTAAGTACAATTAATTAAAAAGGGGGAATTTCCAATTTACTCTTGACACCTAACATATTAAAGTTTATCGATTGATACAGTTATTAAAAACTAATTACTCATTGACTGTTTTGTGGAGTTAAGGGAGGGTCACTATCATTACAACAGAGTAATTTTCGGTTTCGATATACCGGGTGTTCCAGGCAGGCTTGGATATAGGAGATTAACATGAGAAATTAGTTTTTATTTTTTTCCGCCTGCAGGAGTAAGAGAAATTAAAATCTGGTTAATGGAGCTTGTAGTGCTCGAAAAGAACTATCTTATCGACATTTTTGTCGATTCTCACTTCAAGTTATTGTCTTCCAGATGTTGTAAAAGTGTCTTAACTCGTGTTCTTAATCGTCGGTTTTGTTGCTGTAAAGTCCTAATTTGTTTGCTCTGAAGTATTATTCTTGATTTGGCCAAACGCCAATTTCTTTTTGCTTTCCTTGGTGTGATGTTCATGTCATCTATTAAACAATCACCCACATATCTAACATACTTCTTTTTTTTTCTAAAAATTATAATATTAATTATGTTTTGCAATCCCTTTTTAAACATACCCGCACTTAACATTGCTCAAATTCGGAACGTGCGCCTTTTTTTCCGACTCAAGTGACTCAGTGGTGGAACTAACAATGCTATGTGCGGGTTTTCTTCTTTTTCGAAGTAACTGTTGATCAAGGCTTCTAAAATTTGACATATCTTTATACATCTGTAAGCATGTAAAAAATGTTCACATTACCTTTCCTTAAGAAGGCCCATATGCTCACTACTAAGTTCTTCATCAGCAACGGATTCTGTGGCCGACTTTGTTGCCGAAGATGAGGATAGTGGTACTGCCAATGGAGATGAAGATAGTGATACTGCCAATGGAGAGGCTGCTGTTTCTTCTTTGCAATGTGTAATTAGCACAACTTCCTTTACTGTTTTTGCTGATACTTCTGATGATATTTCACTTGAACTATTATTCTTTTTTTACTTTGCAAATTCATTTTTAACAAAGTTCTTACCTTGTTCTAACGGAGTCAAATTCAGGGTCTTTACTAGCTGAAGGCATATTCCGTGGCCGCGTGTTCTTCTTTAAAACACGTCGACCCAAAGGCCGGATAAGAAAACTGTTTGGGTCAAAATGGTCTGAACAAAGATAAATGTTTCTTGTAAAAACTGGTGGTATTTCGAGATTTTCAAACCACTTCACCCTTTCGGTGTGATCACTTGGAAATCTACAACCATATCGTCAGAGTTACAATATAAAAAAATATTCAATGTAATATCGGACTAGAATACGTTACGACACCACTGGTGTGAATACAAATTTTGGTTAACACGTGTTCGACAGTTTCTTACTTACCGATGATAAGACCTTGTGCATAATTTTTCCTGTATCCTTCGACACAACAAACAAATTTTACCCATTCTCGGTTAAATTTTCAATTTTTCACCTGCACATGTTGACATCACAACAAATTGAACAGAGTATGCCCGGTCTATCTAATATAAATAAAGTCTGTTTTTTTTTAATGGAAATTACCAAGTCAAAATTTTGGTTAGAAAAATTGGTAGCAGCTTGTCTCCATAGTCACAAATTTTGTTTGCTTTTTGTTTTTGTCCCCAAAAATTTTGTTAAAAAATTATGGTTATATTTTCAAATTGAGATGTTGTCAAAATTTTGATTTTCATTAATGTTGTGTCCCTGTTTGCTCTTTGAAAGCGCTATAATTGAAGAACTAAAGACAGACATCATTACCTAAGGTCTAAAGACCGAATTCAGTGCTAACAATTTTGATAGAAACACACCGCAAGTAAGTACAATGTTGTGGACAAAAAAGAGGTTCTTGCTACAAAAACTTTAATGAAAAAGGATGTGTATACAGAAAAAAGTTATTTAGCGAAAGATACAAGTAGGTATTATGATGATTGGCAATAAATTTTGTGTAATTTATTAAAATGAGCTCAAAGTTGATGCAATTTATAAATTCTTCTTCAGCTTTAGTTTCAAAATTGTTACTTTTTTAACTCGTTTCTCTCAAAAACGATGCACAAGACATTAATTTAATTGCGTTCTTTCCGATTCATGTTTATTTTGTATTCTTGTCAATTTCTTGCTAAAAATTGAGAATGTTTAGCAAACCTGCATTACAAATTGCGTCTACATTTTAACGGGCCCTTTTTCTAACTTCCTGCTTGCGAACTATTCGTTTTCAAATTTCTAAAAACTGTTAGCGGTACCAAGTTTGTTTCTTTTTTGGTGTTTCGTCTCTAAATTTTCTTAGACGATTTTTTGTGTTGACGTTTAATGACATTGTTTTCAAATTAATTCAAAAAACCGGAACTGCCAACTTCCTATATTAAAATTACCATGAATGCATTTACAAGGATGCCAACGTTAAGACTGTTTGGCATTTCCATTTAAAAAAAACGACTTTAGATATATCTAATATATAATAGATAATTTGTTTGTTACCACGAACCAACCTAGATAAATTGTTTCAGAAACCGACCCTAAATGCGCCAGTGGTCGACCAGTTAACTTAATTTTCGTTTTTTGCCTCACTCTGTATAACAAGGGCATAACAATTTGAAACGGGTCTTAGGTTTTAGGCACACGGTTTTCTTTTTAAGTCTTCCTCTTATTCTTTGTTTTAAGTACACACAACTTTGAACACACTTTCACACACTTTGACAGAAGAGGTTATGTTTTATTGTTGTCGGCTTGAATTTTAGGTTATAAACATATTAAAAATGAAATTAGTGAGTTATTTCATTACATATTTACAATAAATTAATCTTGTTTGTTTTAGTACTGTTTAAGTAACGATCCGAATAAACCATGCCATATTCTTACTTTCAAAGAAATAACTTTAATGTTAGACTGTGGACTTTCAATGCAATCAGTATTAAATTTTCTTCCTTTATCATTTGTTGCTTCGAGTAAATTATCAAATTTACCCAATTGGATGCCAAATGATGTCTCTGATTCAGATTTGGAAGGAGTAAGTTGAGATTTACTTATTTCTAAACTAAAATGAAAATTCCAGGAATTGAAAGAGAATGGGGACCGCATTTTTGTGGATTCACCTCCGGAATTTTGCCCCCCTTTAAACAAATTAATTGATTTTGCACAAGTTGACGTTATATTAATTTCAAATTATTTGTGTATGATGGCACTACCATTTATCACAGAAGGGACAGGGTTTCAAGGTAGAGTGTATGCAACCGAACCCACACTTCAAATTGGAAGATTACTACTAGAAGAGCTCGTTAACTATATTGACCAATGCCCGAAAGCAAACTTTGCAACACAGTGGAAAAATCTTATTCATAAACTGCCTTATCCATTGAGCGATTCTTTTAAGCCAAAATCCTGGAAACAGCTTTACAACATGAATGACGTTAATGCAAGTTTATCAAGGATACAGATGGTTGGATACAACGAGAAAATTGTAAGTTTCAATTCAACCCTAAAATAATTAATTAAATACTTTTTCCTAGGATGTTTACGGGGCTTTGAAAGTGATGCCTTCCAGTTCTGGCTTTTGCTTGGGCTCCTCTAACTGGATCATCACCTCTGACCACGAAAAGATAGTTTATTTGAGTGGATCCAGCACCTTAACCACCCATCCTCGACCCATGGACCATCATTCTCTCAAAAACGCTGATGTTTTAATTATGACTGATCTAACACAAACTCCCATCAGTAACCCTGACTCAATGTTAGGTGTTTTATGTGTTGTTGTTGGACTCACACTACGTGGAGGTGGAAATGTTTTAATCCCTTGCTATCCTACAGGAGTTGTTTATGATTTATTTGAGTGCTTATCTGGGAAAATGCAAGATTTGGGTGTTTCCAATTGCCCAATGTTTTTCGTATCTCCAGTGGCTGACACGAGTTTAGCTTACTCAAATATTTTAGCAGAGTGGCTTTCTTCAGTTAAACAGAACAAAGTTTATGTGACTGAAGAACCGTTTCCTCATGGGCTTTTGGTCAAAAACAATAAATTGAAACATTTTAAACATGTTTATTCGGACGGATTCAGCACGGATTTCCAGGAGGTTGGTATATTTTAACAAAATGGGACGGCAAAGAAACATGTGTTTGCAATAATTAAATTGACGTAATTTATTAAGTTAAGTTAATGGATAAAAAATTTCAAAATTTATAGATGTAATATTAAAACATAGTTTTGATTGTTTTAAAATTATCTAATTATAAAATTATACTCTATTGTTCAATTACTAACAACTATCTATACAAAGAATTTTGCAAAAAAAAATGTAAATAACTCAGCATTTTCACAACAGAAATCTCAAGGCAGACAAAAGTTGGGGAAAACTGTTGATTGTTATTTATAATAAAAAAATGAGAACGGTCCCGGGAAACTGTAAGAAAACTCAAATAACTCTTGTAATTTAATTTAAAAATTTAAGAAAGAGAAAGATCACATTATCAGTGGACGAAAAAAATATTTATATTTCCAGATTTGAAGAAAATTTCAGTCTGTGGCTTGAAACGAAATTATTTTAAAAAATTATGGAAAAGGATACTCAAATACTGTGCCCTAGGTACATTTTTTTTGTCGTTTTGTGGTTATACTTTTTTAAAGTTGAAAAACAGCCATAAACATTTGAAAATTACTCAATATTATCAATAGTAATATCCCGAGTACAAGCCAAATTGTCGATACTTTTGTCAAAATTAGAATCAATTATGGTTTATGTACCAAGACGAAAAATTGTATTTGGACCTTGTATGTATTACTGATGTATTTTTTTGTTTTTAGATTTTTTTACGCGAATCATTGACTAAATAATTAAAAAATTTAAAGGTTTTTAAAATACTGACCCATTTTTCTACTCATAAATAATATATATAAGAATATAATATTTTTTTTAGCCTTGTGTTGTATTTTGTGGCCACCCTTCTCTAAGGTTTGGTGACGTGGTACGTTTTATAGAATTGTGGGGCAATAATCCAAGAAATTGCATCGTTTTCACAGGTAATTTTGATAATGTTATTTTTATTTCTTAACTACATTAATATACCCGGTGATTCATTAATATACCCGGTGATTCTAAATGACTATGATTTTTATCTCAAGTTGGAGTAAAATTTAAACCACCGCCTCCTTAATCAAATGTATCAATATCCCGCCTGGGCATTTCGTAAAAAATGCATTGGAGCAGTGATTCCGATTTTTTCTTAGTTACGGGGGTTACTAAGGAAAAACTGAATGAGTTTTAATTATTAACGAAAAATAACGCAATTAATAAAAGCTGGGAAGGAAGGATACAACAAAACAAGATACGCCAGAGAGAATTGATATTATGAGGTTGCACCCTTTAAGCTAAAAAACTGGATTTGTCAAAAATTTTCTCCAGATTAAAGCGCCAACGGGGAATCAGTTGAACTCAAAAAATGCCCAGGCGAGAAAAGGATTATTTCTATGGAGACGGCGATGATTTTAACTCTTAGTTTCGCAACCTGACTCAAATACAAACGTCAAAGTTTTATAGGCAATTGTGATTGAAACATTCTAATATAACAAATTATACAATAATAATAATCAGTGTTGCCAATAGATATTTTTGTTACAAACACTTATTTACTTGGCAATTTAGATCCAGCGTCAAGTAGTTTTTTAAATAAAATATAACAGGTTTTATCGACTTGTGTTGTTTCTAGTGACCTAATAGCTACAACATATTTTGTCATGTTTTTATTTTAATCATTGTTTTTCTACTTTATCAACAAACTGTTTTTAATCAATAAAAAGGGCTCATACTTATATTTGAGAAACATTGAGATAGAAACATGTTTAATTTTTTTTTATCTTTTGACATTAAAAGTTGCTGAAAACGTTATATATTTTAGAACCGGACTTTGACTACACTGAAGCCTTAGCCCCATACCAGCCCTTACAAATGAAAGTAGCCCATTGTGCTATCGACACTTCGCTTAATTTCACCCAAGCCAATAAACTGATCAGAGATTTAAAACCAAACACACTTGTGGTCCCCGAATGTTACACTCAGCCTCCAGTTTCCGCCCCAAACCTCACAGATTACGTCATTGAAAATAATCACGATCGTACTTTAATTCCATACAAATGGGGCGAAGTAATTAATTTACCACTAAAAAGGAAACATAGTCAAATTTTCATTGAAACTGGAGTTGCACAGAAAATTGTCCCAGTGGAAGTCAAACCAGGGATTAGTTTGTCGAGCATTACGGGGACTTTGAATATTAAAGACAACGTCCATAGCATACAGGTAAAAAAAAATGAGAAAAAAAGTTAGTTGATTGTTTTTTTCAAGGATTTGTCGTCCAATGTTAACAAAGCAAGTAAACATGTTAAGTATGAATGGGGAAGTTTAAATGTCACTGATTTTTTGCAAAAGTTAAGTCAAGAGGGTATTAGTGAACCGAAAGTGGAATCGCATGGGAATGTTGTTGTTATACACTTGGTAAGTCGAATAATGAATTATTAACTAATTACAATCTTGAATTAAAGCAAGAAGAAGATGCTTTAATCCAGTTAGAGGACAATAGTACTCACGTGGTTTGCAGCAGTGATGAAAATTTAAGGACAAAGCTACGCAGTATTGTCATGCAGTGTTTAAAGAAGTTTTAGTTAAATAAGTTGTCAAATAAGGCGTTTAAACAATTTATTACATTGAATATTGTTTTTCACATGTATATAATATGTATGCAGAAATAGATAAAGATGAAAATTTCTGTATTCAATATTTGCAGTATATTTTCGTTCCAAAATATTCTGCACCTCATCAAATACTAAATATACAATTGTAAATTGTACAACAGCTTACAAGATAGGTAATATAGTAAAAAGTCATAAATATAGTATATTTTACAGACATGTATACATGGTGGAAGAAAGAAATACACACTTTACCTTTTGATTGTCTTAAAAAAAAGTAATTACAAATATATCAAAAACTACACACGAGAGTAACTTATGAAAATTTTACTTAGTGTATATATTAAATAATACAGGCACATTTTTGATATTTCTGGATAAAGTAAAACACATGGAATGCTTAATAAAATTATTTAAATAATTCACAGCTTTCATCATAAAGTATGTACAAAATTGACTGATAAAAGACAGCCAAATCACATTTCTTGAACATTGTTAAGGTCTGTCTAGACAACGTATTTTAAGCAAATTCACCCTGCCTGGTCATACAAATGAGAACTTTTGAAATATTCAGTGGTTTATTACAGTAGGTAACAATAAAGGGCATAGCAGTATAACCGTTGAGTTTTTTTATGGATGTACTGCTATCGGAATCTGAGAAAATCGAACAAAACGTGAATAAACCTTGCCTTGGCAACATTATGTGACCGCTTTCTCGTACGAAGGCGGCGGGGAATCCCGGATAATCTGCACGGATTCGGTATCATTTTGCGAAGGCAACATGATGGCAATATGGTACGGGGGTGGCGGCAATTCAGCAGCAGCGGGCGGCATGAGCGAGCTTGGCACTTGGTTGTGGGTATCCTCCTGGTCAGTAACGGGGGCTACGGCCACGTTTTCCTCTTGTGGAGCGTTTGCAGTTGCTGTGATTGCCTCGTACAGCGAGACTAAACCTCCGATTATCAAAATTATTACCAAAAGGGAACAGAAAGCGAACGCTTCCATTCCAATGTTGACCTGAAATGGTTTTTTGAGACGTAATTTTCAAATAGTGAAATTTACCCCGTGAAAGTAATATTTGGCACCAGCTAGAAAAAATGTTACTATTGCGAAAAAAACCCAGACGCCACATTTGAATTTTGCCGTCGGAGTGCCGTGTCTGCGAGGGGTGGGGGTGTGGATTTGGCCCGTTGTTATTATTTCCAAAGACCTCCCCATCTGGCTGTTATTGCGGACGCTGGTGGCAGCCCCACTGAGAATTTTCGTGTTAGAATTGTACTCACAGTGGTGCAAATTGCTGTTTTATACTTATAATGGACAGACGGCTGGCAGTGAAGAGGCGCTCTGGAATGGTACCCCGAAGACCTCGCATATCTCAAACCACTATTGGCCACACTCTCAATAGACTGGAATCGATGTACTGGAGTTACCATCGGTTTAGGATAAAAGCCGCCACACATAAATCTCTGACTACGGCCGTACCCTTACAACAAAATTCATACAGTTGTCTAATTTTCACAAATTTAGCCTCACCAGAGAACCCACATCCTTGACTACGTTTGTCAATCCAAAAATGCATGTGTATAACACACACTGTCCTTAATTAATTATTTGCTCGACGAATTTAACAATTTTTAACATCATCTTGTTGAAAACACAATCAATAAGTTGGAAGCCTAAAAATAACAATAACAACCCGGCTTAGTTTGCCAAACTATTTGTTTTACCCAAACAAGTTGGTACTCATTTTTAACAGGGCAAAAATGGAACACATCATTACATTATACTACAAACACTGCAGTTTCACACGACATTATTTGTGTTCACCTTTAAAACAGCAGTCCCAGCGTTTAGTTCCTTCTCCCATAAAGTCATTAACGCGACGCTAACACTGGTTTGGAAGTGCTGAGCGACGCCAGGCGTCGCGTGGGCGCATCTGCGCCCTGTGAGAGTCGATGGTCATAGTTTTTCTAATATTATTATTTCTGTAACTGTATAAGAAGTGTTAAAAAAAATTGACTGAGACAAATACCAAAAAATCTCAATATTCATAATTTACTCTTAGCTTGTCTTAATTTAGAATTTTTTTCAATTAAAATAATTTGTGGCTTATTTTTAACGTAATTTTACTTATTACTTTTGTAAAATAGTTTTTGTCATTGTTTTATGATTTTTAAATTTGAGTAAATTTAAAACAACCAATCAGGAGCAGACGTCAAGTGTTGATATTCGCTTCAATGGACGTTATCGGTTTTTAACAGCATCAAGCTGTCAAAAGTCAAACTACCCAACTGTCAACTTTTGGCGCCATCAAAGTAATTTTTGTGTTTAAAAGCAAAAAAATAACAGTCAAAAATGTTGTGGGCCGATAAATACCGTCCTAAGGATTTTTCGTCTCTCAATTACCACAAACAACAAGCTCTCGATTTGAAAAACCTGACCAAGGATGGTGACTTTCCCCACTTGCTGGTTTATGGCCCCCTTGGAGCTGGGAAAAAAACTCGAATTATGTGTCTTCTTCGTGAACTGTACGGGCCAGGTGTGGACCGTTTGAAGGTTGAGGTTATGAATTTCACCACACCGTCAAATAAAAAGCTGGAAATTAGTACAGTTGGAAGTAATTACCACATTGAAGTAAATCCTTCAGATGTGGGCATTTATGATCGTGTTGTTATCATGGATGTCATCAAAAACGTTGCTCAAAGCCAACAACTCAACGCAAACACTCAAAGAGAATTTAAAGTTATTTTGCTAACTGATGTTGATAAGTTAACTAAGGATGCCCAGCATGCTCTTCGAAGGACAATGGAGAAATACATAGCGAATTGTAGGATTATTCTTTGTACCACATCAATTTCCAGAGTGATTCCCGCTATAAGATCAAGATGTTTATGTATAAGAGTTCCAGCTCCAACTATTGAAGACATAACATCGATTTTAACAAACGTGACCTCCAAAGAATCACTGGTATTACCTCCAGAACTCGCAAAACGAATCGCTGAGACATCAAACCGAAACCTCCGACGTGCTTTACTCATGTGTGAGGCTTGCAAAGTCCAAAATCAGAAATTAATAGCAAATCAAAAAGTTCAAGAACCTGATTGGCAAGTTTTCATCAGGAATATTGGCAGTAAGATTTTCAAGGAACAAAAAATTGCTAGTTTGGCCAGAATAAGGGAAAACTTATATGAATTAATTATTTTTGGAATTCCGTCTGAAATTATTTTCAAGACTTTATTAAAAGAAATATTAATAAATTGTGATATGGATCTTGGAAGAGAGATTGTGGAACAGGCGGCTTTGTATGAACATCGCATGGCACAAGGGAATAAAGAAATCTTTCATTTGGAAGCTTTTATTGCCAAGTGCATGTGTTTGCACCAAACTATGATGCAAGAGCTCATAGCAGGTGAATTTTAGATTTAAGTACAATACTTTTTTATGATAATAAAGTTAATAAAGTGTATTTGGAAATTAAAAGCCGCTTTAATTCAAATTTTTGGTATTTTTTTGCTTGTATGGGTGGCAGCTCGTAACAATGCTACCAATAGTACCAATCACATTCAAGACCAAGATGGTGGCATTTGCAACTTGGGAAGATGTAAATAAAGTTTATTTTGCATTTGATGCATCGAAGAATTGAAAGTTCTCGTATTTAAGTTATATACCAAGTTCAATGGATCCCAATAGGATAAAGTTTTGTTATTTAAACCCATATTGTTCCGTAAAGTGCATTAATAATCTGGCAGATGGTAAACTGCAATGTGACTGTGCAGATTCTGGAATTTATAACTGGATTTGGGAAAAGCAAGACGACACGTGTGCCTTATTGTCAAAAAATAACCGGGAAGTTACCTTTCATCCTGTATACAGTTCGGGGACAGCAGCCTTGAGAGGCAGTCAACCCTTTGAAAAAAACATGCATCATTTTTGGGAGATGAAAATGTTATCAAATTTGTATGGAACAGATGTTGTAAGTTGATGATGACATCAAAGAATATTTTGCATCAGAAGTGATAATGTTGATCTATGACTTTCAATTTCACAATCGATTTACAGATGGTAGGAGTAGGGACTTCAGAGATAACATTAGCTGACTGGCGATACCGGTTTTTCAGTTTATTAGGATTCGATAAACAATCTTGGGGTTATTCTTACAATGGACTGGTACAACATGATAACGTTACTAGATGTTACGGATCAAAATTTGGGCTAGGGAGTTTAATTGGAGTGCATTTGGACATGTATAATGGCACACTGGAATATTATTTCAACAGGAAACCTTTAGGTTATTGAATTGTGATTGAAATTGATCGGTTTTAAATGTTTTTTTCAAGGAGTTGCATTCCAAGGGCTGAAATCATACAAACTGTACCCAATGATAAGTTCAACAGCAGCACAATCAGCAATGAAAATGACTTGTGCTATTTCGGTTGAATCATCATTACAACTTACTTGCCTTCAGTGTATTATTAAAGATCCGGAATTGTATAAACAGTTTAAGAGCATACCTGGCTTAGCTAAGATCTATGAACATAAATTTTTCTGGATGCTTCCTAAAGGTAGGTTACCAATTTAACAATGAAAATCAACCTTTATAAAAAAAATTTAGACTATGATGATTCTAAACGCAAGGCTAAAGAGAATATGTGGTCATCAAAAAGAAGAAAAATGTTGATACCAATCAAATGGCCTAGATGTCAAGATTCTGAACAAAAAACGCTCAAGATCTCGTTGCATTTTACCAACTTTAATAGTGATTCAGAGAGTAGCTGTGATATGAATTATGATGGTTCTGGAGAAGCATCAACTTCAAAGGAAGTTTAATAAAGTTTAAATCAAATTAAGTTTTTTATTCACTTAGGGATTGTAAATTATAGTTTGAAGGCTTAAAATTTACGCTTTATTAACAAATGAAATTACATTATGGAGGTTCAATTTTGGCATAACAATGCCAAAACATAAACACAACATTAAGCCTTATCTACTGTTTTATTACAAACCTATTCATAAATGTCTTCTTTGTCTGCAACATACCTAACAATATCTGCAGGTTTTAGTAGTTTCTCAGCATCTCCATCCGGAATTTCGAACCCAAATTCGTCCTCCATCGCCATGATCACCTCCACATGATCCAAAGAATCAAGCCCCAAATCGTTGATGAAATGTGAATCTAGCGTGAGCTGAAATAAGGCAAGAATCAATGACATGTCCGTCAAAGTCAATTTCAGAGACTGTGCCACAAAGTGCAAAATTACCGTACCTTGTCTGGATTGACTTTATCGTACAATTTTAATACCAACAGGACGCGGTCTGTGATTAGTTTTAAAGTCAACGGTGGCTTGGAACTGTAACATCGCTCAAGTGGCAATACCAGTCTCTGAAATAGAAAAGTACATTATGCAGTACCTTGTCAGCAGTTACTTTATCATAAGAAGCGCAAACTTTCAACACTCTCTGTTTTATTTCCTCTTCAGTCGGTTTCGTTTGAATTACTTCAGGAGAGTAGAAACGTATCTAATAAAGTAAGGTTAAGAGTTATGTAATCACAAAAAATCGCACTTTTTTCTATTAAATCACCCTAATTGAATGAAAATAAAACTATTAAACGAAAAAATGAAACGTACCTGACTAATTGGTGCAAATACTGTGTTGCTGCTAATTGGGGGCTGCTCATAATTTTTGTGTTTATTCGCAATGACAGTCAATGGCCTAATTGAAACTGTTCGTAAATAACTCGAATTTCGAGATAAAACACGAATGGTTTTTATCAATCCAGACATTTTTCCAAATATTTTTATCCAAAATCTCGGCCAAAATGTCAATTTACACCGACTGGAGTGGAGGAAACACACAACGCCATCTACATCCGGTTGATTGTCAAATGTTCGAAAACCGCGAAACTACAAATGTGTTTAGGGTGTTTAGGTTAACGTAAAAAGGTTCATTGCATTCTGTTGTCTAAAATAATTACAAAAAAGTATAAAAGTAGTTAGTTTATTAGCCCCAAAAAATAACATGTGTGTTTGGCTATAAATAAAAATAAGTGTGTAAATAATAAGTGTGCTTTGGATTAAACTTTATGTCTCATTGTTTTAAGGAAGACGCTACACAAGAAACTTATTTTTTTCAACAGCAAGGCTTATTTATCACAACTGCTTGTATAAATTTAATGGTAAGTCACACTTTATATTTTTCTGCTTGTTGATCATAACATTTAAAAATGTAAATATTTTGCGTAACCTCGTTTTTTGTGTGTAATACATTATTAATGAATTAACGTGATGGAAATCGTATTGTAAAATTTAGCAAATGGGTTAGTTTCAAAATATTTGCGCGAATGTTTCTACTTTTACTTCATTGCTGCCACCTGTGAAACAGAATTAATCCCATTATTCTCATTCTTCCACCATCAACTGTCAAAAGTGTGTGGTGCTTGTAGCTGTACATTTTTCTAGTTTTTTACTATTATTTCGTTATTTATAAAATTGTAACTGACGAAATGTCAGGGAACGGCAGCCCCACGTTATTAAATTTGCGAGATTATCGAATACAAAAAAAGACATTAGGTCACCACAGTAACAACGGTGCAATTAGCTCTGGTAAGAGACCAAGTACATATCAATTAATGAACGGTAAAACATTGTTTTCAGCACCTAATGGAGCTGTAAGACGCCGAATTATTGCATTCTCCGATTCTGATTCCGACTGTGATAGTTCTGGAACAAATTCTCAACCTGCACAAACTCCAAAGCAAAATATTATAATACCAAATTCGAGAAACATGAAAAATCCGTCTGTTTTAGAAAAAGAGAACCAGATGAAGTATTTAATGTCGTCATTCCCGAATGTTGATGCTATGGTAAATCTCAAATGAAATTAGTTTTTTTAAACAAGAGTTTTTTTTTATGTAGGTTATCCATGATGTGTTATCTCGTCATGGGTTTAAAGTAGACGAAGCGGCGTCAGAATTAGCAAGATGTCACGCTGTTGAGTTTAATTCCCAAGGTTATGCAAAATGGAAGGAAGAAAATGTTTTGAATAATGCAGGAAGTCAGACGAAAATTACTGTTAAGAGAAAACCATCTCCTGATAGCGCGCCTTACAACAAAAGGAAAAAATGTAATTAGTATTTAATTTCAATCATTATGTTTGCGATCTACCATAAAGCCAGAAAAAAAAATTATTACATTATCAGAATGTTTCATCACTTTTTGTTAGAAACTTATTTACAACTACTGTTTTTTGGGTTTGTTCAATTTTATTATCTTATTTGTTTTTAATATTTTATGTTCTATCTTGTATTCTCAGTTACTTTCTCATTTTTTTTACTGTATCTTTTTTCTTCAAAAAGGATTATCTTATATTTTAAAAGGCAAAGGAATTTGAGAAAGAAATTTTTATTTAAGATTATTTTATTTCTTGAAACAAAAATTTTTTACTTGTTTTGGTAGATTGAAATTTCTCGTTGCAGTTAAACGTCGGAAGTCAGATGACGACACAGACGACAGCACTGGCAGCAATCAAGATTTCAAAGATCGACGTGTGTTTGACAGTGATGAAGATTCGGATGTTGAGATTAGTGATGAATTAACTGGTGACAAGAAGAAAGTTTTTGAATTTATGCAGACAGCAACTGAAGGAGAACTTCAATTGATGAGTTTTTGTTCGAAGAAAAAAGCAGAAGCTATAATAGATGCAAGACCGTTCACAGGATGGGTGGATCTAGTACAGAAATTGAGCAACAATAAAAACCTAAACACGGATTTACTAAATGCGGCACAACAAGTACTTATGACTCGGAATAATATTAGACATTTGATGAAAAAATGTACAAATTTGGCCCAACAAATGGAAAAGGCGGTGGCTGCCGGAGCTGGAGTTAAGGCACAACCGAGGATTTTATCAGTTTCGTGAGTTTGCTTTAAATTAACTAAAATTGTGGTTTATCAATGGAATTACAGATTGCGTTTGACTAATTATCAAATGGTTGGACTTAATTGGTTGGCAGTACTGCATGCACAACGAGTAAATGGGATTTTGGCTGACGAGATGGGTTTAGGAAAAACTGTACAAGTAATTGCTTTTTTAGCCTATTTGAAAGAGACTTGCCAAGCGCAAAATACTCATCTTGTTGTTGTGCCCTCATCGACATTAGGTCACTTCATTTGTATTCTAAACAAAGGAAATTAAATGTTTGATTTGTAGACAATTGGAGGTCTGAATTTGCTCGCTGGTGTCCAGAATTACGAGTGTTTATGTATTACGGGAGTACAGAGGAGAGAAGATTGTTCAGAATTGATTTTGCCAAAGGAATTTTGGCTGATTTTGATGTTATTTTAACAACGTTAGTATATTATTAACAAGGATTTTGTAAAAATGTGCAATTATTTTTTTAGTTATTCTTTGGTCGGGAATAGTCCAGAAGAACGGAAGATGTTTCGCGTCACACCCATGCATTACGTAATTTTTGATGAGGCCCACATGCTAAAAAATATGAACACACAACGTTACGAAAATCTGATCAGAATAAACGTAATAATTATTATTTGAAAAATTAACAAATGTCAACAACTTTTTTAGGCGAAACACCGGATATTGCTGACTGGCACTCCACTTCAAAATAATTTGCTTGAATTAATGTCATTGTTAATTTTTGTAATGCCAAAAATGTTTGCTGAGAAAACTGAAGATCTGAAAAGTCTTTTCCAAAAAACTTCTAAATCTAAACAAACCGACGATTCGTTACCACCTTTCGAGAGAGAACAGATTGAACAAGCAAAACGTATCATGAAACCGTTTGTTTTGAGACGATTAAAATGTGACGTTTTACAAGATCTTCCAAAAAAAATTGACCATGTTATAAAGGTGCCAATGGCACCAACACAAAAAGAACAGTATGAAGCTTTAGTTGCTTCGTACCAAAATGCAACGGTAATTAGACTACTTAGAAAATCACTGTGCTTATTTTTCCATTGTATTCTCCAGGTTGAAGAAGAAAATTCATATAATGGGATGAGTATAATGACAGATTTGAGGAAATTAAGCAATCATCCATTGCTCTTAAGATATCATTACGACGAACATCAAATTAAAGAAATGGCGAAACTTTTAGTCAGAGATCCAACATATAAAGACACGGTAGAAGAATACATTGTTCAGGATTTGTTGTTCATGTCTGATTTTGAAATCAACAACTTGACAAAAATCCACAGAGTACATCAACTTTTAACTTGAATTATCTCAAATAATAATTTTTTTCAGTGTTTGGAACGTTACATGCTTCCAGATAACTTGATTCTGACATCAGGTAAATTTTTGTATTTGGACAAGATTCTTGCGGAGCTGAAACAAACTGGACATAGAGTTCTCATATTTAGTCAGTATGTAATCATGTTGAATGTAATGGAACACTATCTTAAAATACGCAAGCACAAGTATTTGAGAATGGACGGGAGCACTCCAGTTAGTGACCGACAAGAACTTGTTGATGAATATATGGAAGACAATAGCATTTTTATTTTCTTACTATCAACAAGAGCTGGAGGTCTTGGTATTAATCTCACTTCTGCTGATACTGTAATTATTCACGATATTGATTTCAATCCTTATAACGATAAACAAGCTGAGGATAGATGTCATAGGATGGGACAGACTCGACCTGTCACTGTTTACAGATTAATTTCTCAGGGTACAATAGAGGAGGGAATGTTGGAAATGAATAAAGAAAAGTTGAAATTGGAAAGACAGATAACGACTGAAGGTAATTCATTTATCTTTAATTTAATGAGTAATCAAATGAGTAATATATTTTGTTACAGAAACAGATAATCCTGATGTCAAAAGTGTGGTGAGATTACTTTCTTCAGCCTTGGGAATAGACAGTTCAAAAGCCAATGCGTTTGTGTCTCCTACAAAAAAGAAGACGTGAACGATTGTCATTTAGAATTATTATTTTAGGTTTTCTTGTTACATTAATACTTGTAACAGATCTGCATTTGTAATGTTAGACTGTGTTAATCAACAATAAACATATTTTCTTTAATTTTGTTGCATATTTCAATTTTTGATTAGAGGCAGCAGGTGTCAGTTTACGTCAGTGTTGCCAACATTCGACAGGTGATAGTAACAAGTAACAGCTGATAACCGAGTGTGGGAAGTTGTAAATACAAATTTTAAAAATTATCGTTACTTATCATTGGTTTTTATTATTTATTTAATGTCACACAATCAGTATTAATCGTCGTATACGCATTACATTACTGTGTTATTCCGCTTTGTATGACTCATTGTAGTAAGAAGAGTCGAGCTGTGTGAGCCGTTTTTGGGATTGTGTTCATTGATTTACTTAAAAAACCATGTTTGCAATTAGAAATGAAGATTTTGAAAGTGATTCCGATAGTAACTTTGAAGATGAAGATGAATTAACACGTATAATCCCACCTGAAGGTATCTTAGACAAAGGAACAATGTATAGTCACTCACAACGCCCCATTTTTAGTGGAAGACACCAGAGAATGTATGAAAGCACGACATATCTTAGGAATCCTTGGTTTTCTAGGTTTTGCAAATGTGTATGCGATGCGTGTTAACTTATCTGTGGCCATTGTGGCTATGGTGAACAACACAGCAATACCACAACCCTCTACTAATAGCAACATTTACGATCACTGTGTGGCCCCAAACGCCACAAACTCAACACAACCAAACACAGTGAGTTTGTCAATTGAAATGCACAGTTGTTTCACAGTTTACTTGCAGTCTGATGGAGAATTTGCGTGGGATGAAGCCACTCAGGGTATTGTTTTAGGCTCGTTTTTTTATGGGTATGTCCTTACCCAAGTACCTGGTGGCCGTTTGGCTGAGTTGTTTGGTGGGAAATTGGTGTATGGTGTGGGAGTTTTAATGACTGCAGTTTTCACTTTACTTAGTCCCATTGCAGCAAGGATTAATTTCCCACTTTTTATTATTGTTCGTGTTTTGGAGGGCATGGGCGAAGTAATTGTTACATTTTGTTGATGCGGTTTTTCTTAAATGAGGATTTTTAGGGAGTCACGTTTCCGTCAATGCATGCAATGTTGGCAAGGTGGATTCCTCCCCTGGAAAGGAGTAAATTTGCAGCCTATGTTTATGCAGGTAACAATTACAAATAACGTAATTAATGCACTTTTTCCGGTGATCGTTTGTTTACAAATACGTATCATTAGTTCATTAATGAATCATTTTAAAGAAATCATACAGTGTTAGAGAGAAAGATGCCCACAAATTGTCAAAATAATTAATAAGATTTTCATTAATTTTTAAATAATGATGATGAAAAGTTGTGCTTTACTAAAATCTTGTTTTTACACTTTTTACAGATGACACCGCTTTTCCCTTATTATTACAATAATTTTAAATGGATCAAATCAAATTGAAATTAATTTAATACCTATCAAATTGATACATATTTTGTTATATATTATATTATCTTTTTAATTCAAATGTACGTATTTTTTAATCGGAAGTGTTGCCAAATCTTCACTAAAATGTTAGTCAGAAAATGGACAAAATTTTAGAAGCTTTAAAAATATTAAGTACAAAAATGTCTTTTTTAATGGTACGAGGGGTAATCTAATGATTCTAAATACCATTCGAGTGATTGTACAGTTCTTTTATTGAATCATGTTATATAAATAAAAAGTTCGTATAGCACGCACGAAAAATTTTACATTTATTAATATTTTCAGAAAAAAATAATTAAATAAAAAATACTTTCCTCAGTTTACAATCTTTTGATGTTTCTAAAAAGCACTCGAAACTTTTAATTTCAGTCATTCATGTCACTTTAACCAATAAAAACATAAGTATAGTGGGGAGTTTTTTATTTAATTGTTGCGAGAATTATTTGAAGTATTATTATAATTATAGATATTATCATATTGACATTGAAACATCAAAAAACAATCATCAATGATGATGAAAAGTTGTGCTTTACTAAAATCTTATTTTTACACTTTTTACAGATGTCACCGCTTTTCCTGATTGCAATAATTTTAAATGGAATAAATCAAATTGAAATTAATTTAATACCTATCAAATTGATACATATTTTGTTATAGGAGCCAATTTTGGAACCGTCATATCACTTCCCCTATCTGGTTGGCTCTGTTCACTAGAATTAGACGGCGGTTGGCCATTGTGCTTCTATTTATTCGGTTTTTTGGGTATAATATGGTTCGTATTTTGGTGCTTTCTTATCTACGACTCACCTTCGACCCATCCGAGGATAAATCCACAAGAGAGAGCTTTTATTCTAGCCAGTATCGGCCCTCAAGTACGTAAAATTGTCTATGATTTATATGGGCTTTACTTTGGTCTATGTTATGGACTCATTTTAAGAAAAAAATTCTTGTTAGGATGAAGATGACAGGGCTGCCATCCCATGGCTTAAAATGCTAACTTGCGTCCCACTTTGGGCCATCTTAATCACCCAGTGTGGCCAGTCGTGGGCCTTTTACACCCAACTGACCGAACTGCCTACTTACATGAGTCAAATTCTCCATTTTGACATTCAAGCAAACGCACTTTTATCAGCAATTCCATATCTGACAAGTTGGTGGTGCGGGATTCTCATCAGTATCATAGCCGATTGGTTGCTGAGTCGAGGATATTTGTCTCTCTCTACTTCGTATAAAGTTTTTAACTCTTTAGGTAAATTGTGCGGAAAACTAATGATTTGCTGGAAGTTTATTTTTAGCTTCAATTGTCCCATCGTTGGGTCTTTTGGGAGTAGCGTATGTTGGATGTGATAGAGTAGCAGTGCAGTTACTTTTGGCCCTTCCGGGGGCTCTTGCTGGCGCTGTTTACGCCGGTAATCAGATGAACCACATAGCTCTCAGTCCGAAATATGCCGGCACTATGTATGGGATTACGAATGCTGCATCGAATATGTGCGGATTTCTGGCTCCTTATGTCATTGGTGTAATTATCGAGGGACGGGTAAGTTATTAGGCGATTGATTTTTATTAAAATTTGTCTTTTGGGTTTATTTACATTAGGAAACACTGGGTCAGTGGAGATTGGTGTTTTATCTAGCCGCTGGTATTAATATGGGAGCAAATTTATTTTATATAGCGTTCGCAAGTGCAAGGGAACAACCGTGGTCAAGATCACAAAGACTGAGTACCATCAACTGACAGGCGCTTTATTTAGCAATGCTTGTTGATGCTTAGATCAAGATTTTTTTATACCAATACATGGTTAAACTTCTGCTTAATTTAAAAGTAAATTATTAAGCAGAAGTTTAGTGGCGCTAAATAGTTAAGTATTGAAAAAAATGTGATTCCCTAGAATTATTATCGTATCAACAAGAAATTACTCCTTAGGATTTAGGGATATTAGTGAATAGGTTGCCCTAAATTTGGTTGGGTTGGTTTGTGGTGACAAACAAAAGATTTTGTAACTAGTGTCAAAAATTTAGGTTAAATCACCTGTCAGCTTGTAGAGATAACTCAATTGATAGTTGACAGCAGGTTGACAGAAAACGTCAATCGTCAACAACAAGGGGTAACCAACCCTAGACATTCAAAATTACTTCTAAAAATTCTAGTCGCCAACAACAAGAAAAACGTAATTTTCCTAAAAATTCAAATCCTAGGTGGTAACTTCTTGATGACAAATCTTTATCTGATTTAATTTTGTGTACTAGGTGCAATGAACATTAAAAATATTTCAATTTGTTCCTTTACCTTATTATAGAATGTATACAAATGTTTTCAAATACATCTATTTACGGAAAACAATTATTAAATGTTATATCGTTAAAATTTAATTTTGAAGAATCATTTAGAATGAAAATTTATGTTATTTAATTGTGTACTTTCTATAATCATGGTATAATTAAATGTGATAAAGCCTTATCTCACTTTATTTTAATTTATTGTTTTAATTTCTTAGCCAATGTAAATGTTTACAACAACCCTGTATGAACAATTTTACGCTCTTTCAATCTAGATAATATCAACTACAAACGGCCGAACTACACTTTTGTTGAAAGTTTTTATTTTCATATTAAAATTGTATATAAATTTTATTGTAAAATATATTTTTTCTATTTACCACAGACTCGTAATTTGTTTAACTTTTCTTTGAATAAAGATTTTTCCCGGAGTCAAACATTCAAGTTGGTATTAATTTGAAGTGGCATTTTGTCATAAATCGATGCACACGTTAGCGATGTTTTATTTTGGGAAAAAAATGAAATATTTTCAGTTTGTTGCAAGTAAGCAAAGACTTTTTACGTTTTTAGTGCTACCGTGCGATCAAATAAAAAATAAATTAGAGTAGGCGTCGATTGAATTCTACAGTTGGCAACACATTGGCTGGAAATCTGAGCTAGAAATTTTCCACACAAACTCAAAGTGCAAATGACCATCCACCGTTTCCCTCTTGTACAGCAATAAAAAATGTCTGCTCTAAAGTGAACATTATTTCACTCAAAAGGAATAAAACGCAAACTAGTCAAAGTTTCCGCTGACATTTGATGTCAAAAATCAGGATTGCCATCTGAAGGACTTTAATCACCGCCTACTCTAATTTATTATTTTTTTGATCGCACGGTATTTTTGAAAAAATTAATTATTATGTTTTGATTGGTTGTTGAGATGTATCAGTCTGGCCAACTCTAGAGAATTTCCTAAGATTTCAACTTTTTCTGAAAAAAGGGATTTTTCAGCTACAAAAAATTACAGTTTTACGCAAATTTGGACTAAGATGCAACTAATTAATAGCACAAAATTTTAATTAATAGAAAAAGTCATGGTTGGCGACACCGACAAGCAATTATCTGTCAGATTTTGGCGCCTTCACAATTTACATTTTTCACGTTCATTTCTTTTTGTGCTTATTTTCCGATTGGAGTAACTATAATACTTGCAAAATGAACACTTGGTGTAATGAAAAGTGAAAATTATTTTAAATGTTTGCCTAAATACTCAATTCCGTATACTTAGATAAAAGTGAGGTTAAGTGCTTTTGTTTGTGTTAAGATTTTTGTTATAAGAAAATAAAAATGGTTAAGAACGAGACACGCGTTAACCTACCTTGGTAAGTCCAATTTGTTTATTTTTTCCTCACGATTTCAATCTATTTTGCACAAAAGGATAGAAAAATACCGCCCCAGCCGTCTGGATGATTTGGTGTCTCACGACGATATTATAAAAACCAGTAAGTCCTACTAATTGTTCACACTTTCGTTTCATTATTCTCTTTTAGTTGGCAAATTTATTAGAGAGGATCAAGTCCCTCACTTGCTGTTTTATGGCCCTCCAGGAACTGGGAAAACAAGTACTATTCTGGCTTGTGCTCGACAACTTTACACACCAGCACAATTTTCCTCAATGGTAAATTGTACATACAATACAGTATGGGAAAATAAAAATCACAATTTTGAAGGTTTTGGAATTGAATGCTTCTGATGACCGAGGTATTGGTATTGTTCGAGGACAAATTCTCACATTTGCAAGCACAAGGACAATCTTCAAGTCTGGTTTCAAGCTAATCATTTTAGATGAAGCAGATGCCATGACCATGGATGCTCAAAATGCCCTAAGAAGAAGTAAGTAGGGTTATGTTGTTTATGTTTGTATGGAAGTTGCTATTGGTATCTTATGATTTAATTGCTATTTGTACGTATGAGTTCATGAGGTGTTAATCGAAAGAAGTCGAAGTCTTGAGAAAGGTCTTAAAGGGTAATTACAAACAATTTAACACTGATATCGCTTTTATTGATAATTGCTCAAGTTTTCACACACTTATTAATAAGACATTACATTTGTGGTGCCTTGCAAAATAAGCTTAATTATTGATTTTTTTTATTTATCACCAGCCAACTCTGCTTGATAATTAATCAGAGTGTACAAGTCTATCGGACTTTCGGCGAAAACTCTTGATTTGTCGTCACTGGCACAGCTTTTGTCTGCATGGCAAGAGTCTGAAATATTCAGTATTAACACAAAATCCATACTGTTGTGAACACTATTATTGCATGTTTAACAAAAATACCTTGGCTGCAACAAATTCCATCAAAAGCGCATCGTCCTGTGTTTTTCCTGCATGGGGCACTGCCGGCAATGCAGGGTTCGCGTTCGTGGAAAAACCCCTCTCGTTGGCAACGCAGCGTTTCTGGGGTTCCCAGAAGGCACCCAAATGGTCCACAGCAAATGTTGGAACCGAAACATTGCCCAGTTTGACCAGGTCCGCAACTCACACACTGCGAAAATTATTTTGGTTTTACAAATAAACGATTTTCTTACCGGTTTGACGGCGTTTTCACTTATGGCAAATTTACTTCTTTTGCCACCACGAGGACAATTGGTAATAAGACATCCTAAAACTAAAGATTCGGTTAAAACGAGTAAAATTATTGAAGAAGCTATTGTGGACATTGTGGTGGTTTGTGATGCAGTGATTTGGTAGTGTTGGAGCTTCACTTTTATATTGCTTGTGGATGTGTTTTTGAATTTTATATTTCACGGATATGTGTGTGCACTGCGAATTTTAAAAAGCACTCAACCGATTTTGTTTTGTTATGGTAATTATTGCTTTTTGCAGATACTAATATGAGTTTCTTATAAGGTGATTTTTTTGAAATGCATTATTAAAATGTCAGATTCGGAAGAAGAAAGTGTTGGAAAACAATTAAAAATTGTTTTTGTTGGGGAACCTAGTGTTGGAAAGGTTTGTACTTTTTTGCAATGACCACTTGATTTGTTTTTTGTTATTAATTGCAGACAAGCATAATAAGAAGATTCTGTTATGACGAATTTACAAGGCAATATAACCAAACTGTTGGTGCGGATTTTTATATACGCCGGCTTTTTTTACCAGGTCGTCAGGAAATTACTGTGAGAATTACAGATGTTGGCGGTATGGAATTTAGAGGACATATGCTTGGAAATTATCTGTTTAATTCAAATGTACGTATTTTTTAATCGAAAGTGTTGCCAAATCTTCACTAAAATGTTAGTCAGGAAATGGACAAAGTTTTAGAAGCGTGAAGAAATATTAAGTAAAAATTTTTTTTTAATGGGACGTGGTGTAATCTAATGGTTCTAATGTTCTAAATACCATTCGAGTACAGTTCTTTTGAATCATGTTATAAAAATAAAAAGTTCGTACAGCACGCACAAAAAATTTTACATTTATTAATATTCTCAGAAAGAAATGATTAATTAACAAATACATACTTTCCTCAGTTTATTATTTTTGGACGTTTGTAAAAACCACTCGAAACTTCCAATTTCCAAATTTGCTCGATTTTAATACAGAATTAATTCAAAACTAATGTATTTTATAAAAATAACTGCTTCAATCTCAATTTTAGGCTGAAATAAAGAAATTTGTGATATTTTCAATCAATTTGGCTCAATTTGAAATTAGGAATCAACCTGAATCAAAGTATTTCTACCAAATACTGATTTCAATAACACTTTAACGAATAAAAACATAAGAATAGAAGAGAGTTTTTTACTTAATTGTTACGAGAATTTTTTGAAGTATTATTATAATTATTTTATCATATTGATAATGTTTCTGATTGAAACATCAAAAAACAATCCATAGATTACCACATACCCTTTTGCTCTGTTCTAGTCTCTAGTCACATTTCGGTACAATTTAGTGTGGGAAGTAATAGTAAGAATATTGAATGTGTATAATACAAATATTAAATAATTCAGGAATCACTTTTTCACAAAATGACTATTGATGACTTAATAACATTGATAATATTGATTAAGATTCACGTAAGTGGAAATAAGGAAATTGCCTGTCTTTTATAACGAACTTGGGTTTGTGATTTATGAATATTATATTATTAAAAAATAAAACTAATGACTTCTTATTTTTCTTAACTGCTTTTAATAATTTTGTTTCTAATTTTTTAATATGGTATAATTTGAGTTTTTAACTGCATATTTATGTCTGGTTTACGGATTCTAAACATATGTATTCTATTTTTTATATCAATATTACTTCCAAAATAGTCTTATTTAAGTATTCATTTACATTGTTAAGTAATTATTATAAATAATACCAAGAAAAGTCAATGATTCTTTGCTTTATATCGTTGCACAAGACGGATGTGCGTACTTACCTATATTGAAAAAAAGTTATTTCATAAATTTTGTTCTAATTTTGTAGAAAATATGTATTCAAATATTGTACCAAAAATGACGAATAATTTCGTACCATTATTCTATTTTTTTTTATACAAAGTGTATAAAAGAGTGTAATCAAGAGTTCTGTGGAATTCGAATATATTTAATTTTGCTTTTCTGTAGCATGTTGTGCTACCAAATTGAAGTGAGCTTTTTAAAGGTTTTAGTCTTGATTAAGATTGTTGTAGAATAGAATAAAGAAACACTGGAGAAAATAATGAAGACGTTGACTGAAAACTGATGCTAAAAACTTATAATAATTTGACATTTGATTTTTTAATGCTTATTTATATGTAGATTAACAAGGAGACTCCGTCTCTAATCCGCCCGCCATGTTTTTAGTTCAAAGCCTATACGGTTGCCTACCTTTAGACACTGTTTGATAATATATTATTTTTAATTTACAATGCTTGGAAACTATTATTTTTATATGATTTATTTGTGTATTTATGACTTGGCTTATGTAATCCATATTACTGCAATGTGCTTCAGTTGCTGTACTTTAACAATTTGTTGATTAAGAAGTCAAGAGAGGGAACGACAGTACAATATGTTTATGTCAAACATTGAAAACAGACATTTTACAAATTTGGCGCGTCGGATAGACAGAGTTTTTTTTGTTAATCTAGGAGGCCGTGATATTTAGTTATGTAGTTCGAAAATTATAAGAGTAACACAGGGTGTCCTAACTAAAATTTGCGTCAAGTTTGGAAAAAATGCTGAAACAGGTCAATCTAAACAAAAAAATTAAATAGCAGGAGGGGTCGAGTGACACATTATTTTGAGGATATTTTGAGCAGTATATTCCTTAAATTGAAAAAAAAAACATGGTTGCGTAGACAATGCATCATTTTTTCCACACTTGGACGGAATCGGAGAATTAGGGGGTACAAATTTTAGTTGGGGCAGCCTGTAAATGTCATGATTTATTACATAAAAAGAACATAAAGTAATCTTTTATAGTCGTTTTCTACTCGTAAATACATAATACGAGTATTTTACTCCAAACTAGTCTATTACTCTATTTATCTATTTACTGTGCTATATTTTTTCAGTTGATAGTTCTAGTGTACGACATAACAAATTCAGTAAGTTTTGATTGCCTGTCCATGTGGATAGATGCCATTAGAAAAATCGTGGAAAATCCTCCGATTTGCGCAATAGTTGGAAATAAATGTAATCCAAATATTTGTTTTTCTTGATTTCACTGATGATTTTTAGGCGACTTAGAACATCAAAGAGCGGTTCGATTAGATAAAACTAAACATTTTGTTCAAGATTATCGATTATTTAATTTTTTAGTGTCTGCGAAAACAGGAGAAGCTGTTAGTATTTCAATAAACATTAAACAGACTAATTGAATTAACTCTAGGTCAACTCAAGCTTAATGGATTTGATAACAAAACACTTTGGGATACCTCTAACCCGAATTGAAAAAGAACACCAAGAATCTATAGTTAAAGTTGAGTTAACTACAGCCCCAGCGGACCAAATGAGACCAGTTGTGCACACAACGAATTCGTCAGTGTGTTGTTTGCAATAGAATCTTCCATGTTTTTACGTTTTTAAATAAATATTTAAACTGGATCGTGTTTTAATTTTGTTTTGTTTATTTATTACAAGTATATGTTTTGGCTTTATTTATTTCAGTCATCGAGAAATATACCGAAAATGTCCGATTTTGCATAATTTGCAATTACTTAAGTAAGATCATCCCGGCTCTACAGTCACGTTGTACGAGGTTTAGGTTTGCACCACTGGCGCCTGAGCAGATTTTACCACGTTTAAATTATGTCATCGACGAGGAAAAGTAATGTTATTATTACGTGAAAGTAAAACATACATATTTCCTTTTTTAAGGGTTAAAGTTACAGAGGATGGCAAACAAGCACTTCTCACTTTAGCCAATGGCGATATGAGAAAAGTGTTAAATGTGCTCCAAAGCACTTGGTTAGCTTATCAAAACGTTACTGAAGATAACGTTTACACTTGTGTGGGTCACCCTTTGAAAAATGATATTGAAAGTATTGTTAAATGGCTACTCAGTGAGAATTTCCAAAGTGCTTATAAAAGTAAGGGGTGATTTTTTGAGTCAAATTCTAAATTTTATTTTCAGATATCAAGGAATTGAAAACAATTAAAGGCTTGGCTTTAAGCGATATAATTACAGAAGTTCATAAATATGTTCATAGAAGTGAGTAATTGGCGGTTGATAGACTTAAATTTATTGATTTGTTTTAGTTGAATTTCCCCTAGAAATTATGCTATCGTTGTTAAATAATCTAGCGGAAATTGAATATCGTTTAGTTCAGGGAGCTAATGAAAATATTCAACTCACTGCTCTAATTGCCGCATTTCACAAGGCTAAAGAAGCATCTCCTCCAGAAACTTTGTAATATTTTATGTTCAATAAAAACTTAATTAGATAGTGTATTACTTTATTTCTTAACATTATTAACAGTCTATAACAAGGGAAGTCAACAACGTTTGATAAAATATACTTAACAGTAGATTTTGAACAGAAAATCGTAAATCAAGGCCTTTCTTCTTAAAATAAGTTTGTGAAAGCTCCTTGAGCAACCTGAGACTTAGGAAACTTACTCATAAATACAAAATAAATAATGCAAAAATTAAAACGTATCAAATACGTTAACTTATCCGAAGAAACTAACCAAATTATTAAATCCACTAGTTATGGAAGATATGAAACCCGGCTGTTGAGGATGTTGATGAACTGGCTGTCGGTGGTAAAAGGGCGGCTGTTGTTGTGGGCGATAAAAATTTCCATCCTTTCTCTACAATCAATTTGTTAAAAATATCGCGACAACATGTTAAAAATATATACATAAATGTTAGTCTTGTGGAAAAGAAAAGTCTACATTTGAAGAGGGTGCCGCTTCGGGCGATAGCATTGTGATCGGTGGAGAAGTGACCGGTCTTTTAAAACTGTCCCCAGGCTGAAATTCAGTATGTACAAAAGGTGTGCCACCACCTCTAAACCCCTAAAATACTTTGCTAAAAGCTGGCTATAAGATATTATCATACCTGAACACGGCGTTTTTTAGAATTAAAAAAATCTTTACTGTGAAAAGTGATAGTTACCATTATTGATATACAGGTGTTCGGTCCAAGTCGCCCCGGCTGATAAGACCTAAACTTACTTCTTTTTTTCAAAAAGTAAATATTTAAGTAATAATATTTATTCTTGTCTTTCTTAATAAATGTATTAAATTTTTTTAGCACATCCGGTGTTGCCGGAAATGCTACCAAATTTAGTTTTCCAAATGGAACACCTATGTTTTTTTCCTCCAAACAATAATAATTGACATGAAAAATACTGTAAACCACTATTTATTACATTTTGCGTAACACAATGCAATCAAAAAAATCTTAAATCTTAGAATTTTACAAGGAAATTGGTCTCGTAGCCTGATTTTTAATTTTAAAGGAAAGGTGTGAATAAAAAAATGCTTGGATACAATTTAATTGTTGGTTTTACAAATCTAATTTGTCAGTTGATGAGCGAGTTTTCTTATAGAAACACTTGGATTTTCTTCGACTGATAACAGAACATTCAGATTTGTATTTTCTTGTTCTTCACTAAGAACTACAGCTTTTTTAGTTTTAAGAAGCGAACGTATTCGTCTCAGTTGTTTTTCAATTCGACTAAATTTTCAACGATTTGGGTGAACTCTATTTGAGTATTTTTCTCTATATTGTCTTTCAGCTTTCGCTCTATTTTTATTGCACTTAAAAAACACTTCAAGCTGATCTACCAATTCGTCGTAATTAATATCATCCATTATTAAAGATCTCAATAAGATTTATTGACAAATTAGGCTTTGTCAAAATAACAATTAAACGGTATCCAAGCATATTGGTTTTTGCATGAATACCTTGACAAGTAACTCCGCCTACGTTGCAAAATTTGCAATAAAATTCAAAAATTTAAATTGTTTTCCGGGTGCATTATGTAAAGTAAAATGTAATAAATAGTGGTTTACTGTATTTTTCATGCCAATTAATATTGTTTAGAGGAAAAAAAGCGTAGGTGTTCCATTTGAAAAACTAAATTTGGTAGCATTTCCGGCTACACCGGATGTGCCAAAAAAAATTTGATGCATTTACTAAAAAAACGAGGAATGAATAGTATTATTTGAAAATTTAGTTTTTGAAAGAAAAAGTAAGTTTAGGTGTTATAGGCCGGGGCGACTTGGACCGAACAGCCCTGTATGTAAATTTGTAATTAAATACTAAATAATGATAACTTTCACATTCCAAAGTGTGATGTTAAAACAGTCAATATTTTCCTCATAAATTGCAATTGCTCTGGGAAAAATCATTTTTGACAAATATTAACTATTTTGAGTTTTATCAGTTTTCATGAGGTTTACTTCAATTGTATTCCTAAAAAACAGCAAAAACTTCAAGTTTTTGTACCCAGGTATGATAAATGGTAAAACGACTACCAGCTCTCAGTCTAAATAAATGCCTCATACCTTAGCTGTGTGCAAAGTCACGTTCACAAGAGTTGGGTGTTGTTCCACAACCATGACGTCCACCTCTCGGGGGACATAACCATCAGCGTAAACCTCGAGTTTGTACACTCCCGGCATTAAGATCCTCCAAAATTCGCCATATTTTGTGGACTGGAAGCCCACATCGCGGCTTTTTATTTTGAGCGAGGCTTTTTCGACAGGATTACCATTTTCGTCCATAACAAACCCATGGACACCACGATGGGCTTCGGCAAGGAATTTAATCAACGACTACAATTTAATATTAAAGTAATTGTTTTCGCAAAAGAAGTGTTTACCATGCGATTGTCTTCCCAATATTTTGGTAGTTCGTTTGCTGGGGGATATTTGCAACAAGATACTTCTAGAGTGACTTCCATGCAACCGTACCAGACGTAGTTGAAGTCTTGCATTCCTCCGGTTAGGGGGTACCACTCGGCGCCATTTGTAATTCCCTGGAAGTGGGAATTGATTTGAGTTACTGATTTCACAAGGAAAAAAAATGAGTGAAACGAGAAGAAAGAAGTACAAAAATACTTACCCAGCGAGTTGGTAAGTTTATTATTAACCTTTAATTGTTAAAGTTTTAAAAAAAATGTATATAGGAAATTGATAAACACTGAACTAGTGTTCTAAACTTCTATTGGTCGATTTAGCTTGATTTTTGAAACAGGTTGATTTTTTTGATGAAAACATACTCTATTAAAAAATTATTATAGAAAATCTAAGGCAACTAGATTTTTTTTTATAACTGCAAAGCAAAATGTACAAACTTTAAGACTATATATAACATTTTTTTAGTATATTGCACTTGCATAGATAAAAACTGAAGTTTGTTAAAAGTTAAATAACGTAAAAATTTAAATGGAACATCCTATTTTTTTGTTTCTACATCTAAGAGATTATAGATAATTACGAGAATATTAAATTATCTTTCCAAAAACATTTACTTTTAAGTGCCTACAATTAATAACTAAAAAGATTTTTATATTAAAAAAAAATATTATTTCAATAGCCAAAAAGTGTGCATTTGCACAAGAGTTGGAAAAAGTATTACTCAATAATCACATTTATGTTATACTGAAATCCATTATTCGTTATTTCTACAACAAAACAATTCGAATTTTAATATTTATTTCGGCTTTTACATCTCTGGACGAATCCCAAATAAGAGCTCATTTTAATGATAGACATTGTTGCCACAATTAACATTTAAAGCTAAATATCTTTTAATTTATCAATTCTACACATCAAAATTTATTGTTTTAGATCGATAATTTATCAGTCTATTAGATACAAAAATAAAAAAATTAGGTGTTTTATTTAATTTTTCAAATTATTTAACAACCTTTTACATTTTTTTTTAATTTCGACTGAAATGTTAAAAAAAATGTTACTGCTTTAAAGTTCATAAAGTCCTCGTTACAGTGGTAAAAAAGTTTTTTCTTATTATCAGTCTGTTAGATGCAAAAATAAAAAAAATAGGTGTTTTATTTAATTTTTCAAATTATTTAACAACTTAACATTTTTTTTATTTCGACTGAAATGTTAAAAAAAATGTTACAGTTTTAAAGTTCGTAAAGTCCTCGTTACAGTGGTAAAAAAGTTTTTTTCTAGCTGCCTTAATGTTTTGTGTAACAAATGTTTAAAAAAAAGTGTTTTTGACATGAAAATCAACATATTTCAAAAACTAAGCAAAATCGACCAATAGAAGTTTAGCTTCAAACATTGAGCTTAAAAGCTATATTCAAAAATGCCAAGAAACATAAGCTTGTATTGTAACTTTTTGGGACACGCTGTATAGTTGAAAATAATTTCAGGCGATGCACTAGACTAGTATTTACTAATTGCCTATGTAGATTTTGTAAAATTTTAACATTTAAAGGTAAATAATAGACTTTACTAACTCGTTGGGACACCTGTATAGGAAAAAGAAAGACAGGCAAAAAGGGAAACAAAATAGTAAGAAGGGAAAACGAAAAAATAAAAAAGAAGTAATGAAAGTAATACAAAGATTGAAGAAAGTTAAAGTAGTGGAAGAACAGGGAAATGGAAACGAGGAGTGGATTATACGTAGGAGAGAGAAATTGTGAAAAGAAATGTTGCCGATGGTAACACCAATTATTGAATTCATTTAGAACAAATAAAAATAATGGGAATTAGAAAGGGAAAAATAAGTTGAAATGAAAATGTAGACAAAATCGTGCGCATTTATTTAATAAGACTAGAAAGAAAAGTGGAAAAATAATGATAATTGCCTACAACCTTCAAAGAGCTAGAATAGAAATAATGGCAAAAATTATTTTAGAAGGTTGTGTTAGATAGAAAAACGCTAGAATACATACTAATGAAATAATGAAAAGAGCAAAAATTCGATAGAAACATGGAAAAAGTGTGATTACGACCCGAATGCAGATTATATTGGAAAGAGAAAATGAAGAAATGTGAAGAAAACATACCAAAATGTGTGAGGAGGAATCAAAAGAAGAACACATATTCATCCATAAAAGTCTAAAAGGTACAGAAAAGGGTATGGAAAACTTCGAGAACAAACAAAAAATTACCCTTCTGAATCCCTGCTGTGACGACCTGCAAGCGACTCCACGACTCATCTTCGCATGATTAGTAGAATAGGTCAAAGCCAAATGTTTGAAAACGTCATCATCTGGTGTCAAAGATGGTGAGGATGCGTAGCTCTGAAACACTTTGATTCTTGTTAATTAATTAATTTCTCCGACACCCAATTTCATGTGAATCAGTGACTTACAAGAACACAATGCTGAAGACCTACACAGTCCTTGCAGCATAAATAACTAGTGTAATGATAAAGTAAAATGTTTTAACAGAACAGTGGTGGCCAACTTACGTGAGTTCGGAGTGTTATCGAATGGATAACTAGCGACTAAAGCACCTCCGTGTAAACTTCCCGATAGGACGAATTGGATTTTTGAAACCCATTCCTTAACCGCTTCTGTTTCTGGTTGCGTTCTTTTATTGTTTTGTTTGAAGTAATCTGGGAAATTTCGGTTCAAGTCAAAACCACGAGCGTTGTAACGGCCTTGACCACCGTCGCAAGCGCCTTCTTTGGCAACTTCAAAACCGTCAGGGTTCATTGAAGGCATGATGTGGATTCTTGTGTTATCCATCAACCAGCGAATGTAAGGATCGGTGTGGTAATTGGTTACCAGGTGCTAAAAAATAAACATGGATTTAACAAATTTGTTAAAGAAACTACTTACATGTATGAGATGTAGCATAAGTTCTCTGCTGACAGCTTCGTTTCCATGCATATTTGCAACATACTTAACATCAGGCTTCCCAATCATATGTTCATATGGAGAAGCCGAAACTACCATCACCCACAAGTCTCTCCCTGAAATGTAAAAAACGTTCGTTGAAAAGAACGGAAATAAATAAAAGTAAAAAGATTGTGTTTATTCAGATACGGTCATTCAGGTGTTCAAAATAATAATATGCACCAACACGTTATATCTTTTGATAAAGAAAAAAATTCCTACATTGACTGTGAACATTTTTTGGAGATCAAGAGCAATTATGAAAATGAAAACCGTGTATAGTGAAATACGAACCTTGTACTGACTTTCCAATTGAGTACAAAGCTGTTAAAGAGGGATATTTGGACGTCGTTGCTCTGAGAAATCTCGTCATTTGATCGTAATTGTGATACTCGAAGGCAATGTTGTAGGGTTCGCTTTGTTCCGGTAAATTATAGGGCGAGGGTGCCACTTGATAATTTCTTTGTTCAATGGGAGCATTGCCTACTGTTATCTTGGACATCAGTTTAGCTTCATTTGGTTTGTCTTCGGGGGTGGGTAACTCCCCTTGAGCCGACGTCCACGATATCAACCCCAACAGGATCCATGGTATCAATCTCATAATTTGTATCTGAAATTGAAAAGATCAGATGTACAGGCTGCTAAAAAAAGATTGTCAAATATTCCTGGAGGTAATACATTACTCCAAAAAATTAAAGGAACAAAAATTTTGATGATTATTAAAAGGCTGAAAATTGTTTTTCTTATTTTGACGAAGATTGACAATATTCAATTGCAATTGTTCCTTTAATTCTTTTGTAAAACTTTGATCAATCGGTCCGAGAAAATGGTTTAATGGATCGATTTAAAAATTTACAGGGATATGAGGGGTACATGAAGCTGTAAAAACACCTAAAAACATTAGTCTCCCCATCAATATTAGTGAATACGCAGTAAATTTACTAAAACAAAGTAAAGAGTTACTTTTTTCTCTTTTCTTTAAATTAATGTTGAGGGTGAAAAAAAAATTAAGTTATCTAAGGATCTTGTAAGACATTTATTCCAGTTTTTGACACTACCCTTATATTCTCGGTGTAGTCATTAGTTGCTGAGATATCGATGATCAAAGACAAAAGGATCTTTTTTCATTTAAAGTCAAATCTCAGCGACAAATTGACGTAAAGAGAATATGAAAAAAGCATATAAAAGATGAATGAACAGGCTATCCGGCCTATGGATTGACTGAACTAAAAAAAATCCCCACGTCCGTGGACCAAAAGCAAAAACAAAAAATTTTAGAATTTGTTTTTCTCGCGTGATAACCGTAGCCCAGATAACCGTAGCCCAGAAATTTTTTTACCAAAATATCTCAAAACTAGAAACTTAAAGCTTCAAAATAGTTTCTTTTTAATCCAGATGCGACCATTTTTCGATGAGTTACAGCCTTTCAAATATCACCAAAAAATTTAGGAAAATGTTACCTTCCTTTCATTTTTTTGGAGTAGTGTAGTATAGATCAAAACAAATAAAAAAGTCTTAATAAACATGGGTCCGCAAAGTAACGGTTTATAAAATATCGAAGAATATCCGTTTTTTGATACATTTATTTGCAATCTATCCAAACAAAAAAGAGAAGCTTCTAGTAAATACAAAATTTAACTTTACAGAAGATGTTTAAAGTGCCCTTCCTTTATTTCCACACGAGCACGACATCTTCGTCTGAAGGTTATTCAAACTCTTTCTAAAACTTCCTTATTGACTTGGATTTCGTTAGCATTGCTGAATTATGCGTATTTGCAGCTCCTCGAGACTATTTAAAGGGACTATGATAAAAAATGAGACATTTTTACCCAATAAATTCAGCGGATAAAAAAAATTTCTCATTCGATATCTCCGAAACCGTTAGTTCGCGAAAAAAAAAACATTAGTCTCCCCATCAATATTACTAAATACGCGGTACATTTACTAAAACAACGTAAAAAGTTACTTTTTTCTCTTTTCTTTAAATCAGTGTTGAGAGTGAAAAAAACATATTTTTCACAAAATGATAAAAGGATCTTATAAAACATTTATTCCAGTTTTTGACACTACCCTTATAGTCTGTGTGTGATCATTGGTTGCTGAGATATCGATGATCAAAGACAAAAGGATTTTTTTCATTTAAAGTCAGATATCTCAGCGACAAATTGACGTAAAGAGAATATGAAAAAAGCATATTAAAGATGAAGAACAGGTTATTCGCCTATGCATTGACTTAACTAAAAAAAATCCCCAAGTCTGTGGACCAAAAACAAAAAAAAAATTGATTTTTTTTTTCTCGTGCTATTACTTATAGGAATGCGTGCTAGCCGTAGCACAGAAAAAATTGCCAGAAAATCTCAAAACTAGAAACTTAAAGCTTCAAAATGTTTTTTTAATCTAGATACGACCATTTTCGGTGAGATACAGCCTTTCATAAATCACTAAAAAATTTAGGAAAAATTTTTGTTCCTTTAATTTTTTGAAGTAGTGTTTTACAATCTTTTTTTACATCCTGTATATTTGCGACGTTCTCTTTGTACACCATAAAATTTTACCATGATACTATGGATGATTGGCCTTCACAATAGGATGTTGTGACAAGGGTAGTTCGTTAATATTTACAACGTCCCTCTGTCCGTGTGAAAAAATGTTTATATTTAAAAACTGAGTGTCATTTAAATTTCAATTGATGTTTACAGTATTAGAATTTCCCAATAGCTTTAAAATTAACGCTTTTCCAAAATTGTGATACAATTGTTAGGCAGCAATTCTGATCCTGTCTGCAAAAAATCACACAAGCGTGCCAAAATAATCGACTGGAAGGGTCGTCTGTTTGTATAATCATCATAAAATTTTATGGTGTACAAACTAAATATTGTCCTCATTTGAGTGAACAATTTTTGTGTTAAGCAGTGTAATATTGCACGCCACTGGATAAAACTAGGCTACGAGTGCGACCATCGCGCGTGTCTGTAACCGTCCTGGGTCAAGGCCCTTCGATCAGCTGATGTCCCATCAAATCACAACCCACGCACGGTAACCGGATCCAGTTTTAGCTGAATTCAGACTGAGTTACCGTTAAGTACCATGAAATTGGTGTTTTGGGCGCCTCTTCCGATCAAACACTTAGTTCCAACAACTTAAGGCGATAGCTAATCAAATTGGTATGCTTTAAAATTTATAGAAACGTTAAAAAAATGCTAGAGAAACTTATTAAAATCCAGCCAAATTTGCAATAGAAATGTTTAATCAGAAATAGGTGATTAAAAAAATTGTTAAAACTGATGTAGAACAGAGATTAGTTACCAGCGTAAACCTATATTCACCTATGGATAAAAATATGTAATATTTCGTTTTAACAGAATCTTACCAGACAAATTAAAAGTAGTATGGTTTAAAAAATATATAGACAATGATCGACTTTAAGCTAAAATTGGAAGAGGAAAAATATTTATAAAGAAAAATTTAAAATGCTTTAAAGAGAAAATTGGAGAGTTGATGGTAAAAATTCACTTATTTTTTATGTAACAAAAAATATGGTTCTTCATTATGATTCTAATTTTTACGTTTTAGCATTTTTTTAGTTATTTAAATAACTGGGGATTAAGTTAAATAAACAAAATTAATAACCTTATCTTCCATGTTTTACGCAAAACCATGATTCATTGTTGTTTTATTTTCTACCAATGGTTTTTCACGCTTTCTTTGATAATCGTTACTCACATGGAAAGTTGGGAAAGGTGTCAACAAAAAGCATCAACGAGCAGCCTCAATTTTGTGTTTCCGCTGTCGCATTTCCGTTATAATACTTTTATTATGATTTAAGAATACCAAAATAGCAGATCAGTGAACTCAAATTTTGAATATTGAAAATGTCATGATTTGTAAAATGCCCCAAATACTTCGGATATGGGAAAGTGGGATAAGGCGGTGATTTGAAACAAAATAAAGGTACTTTTCAAAAGTTGGTATTTTAATTAGCAGGTGCGTGCGATATTTCATCAAAACATTTGCGTTCATTGCTTTATTTCTCTTTCGTTAATAGTAACCACCAAATTTCAGAATATTTGTTTTTATAAATATTATTCGTTAGAATATCAACCTACTAACACTAATCTAAAGTAATTTTATATATGTATTTGGTAATTTTGCAAAATCAAGAAATTGCATCAAAGGTCATGTTTTTTTCAATTACGTGTAATAAAGTGAAATGTTTGATAAGTTTCGAAATGGCTTCAGATTCAGATCGAAGCTGACTTTTTCTAATTTCGATTTCACAGCACATGAATTTTTATTAAATTAAAAATGTTATAGTTATTTATGGTAAGTGGATTACTTTTTTAAGTTATACCTTATTCATTAAAATTATGAAATATTATATAAGAGTGTTGGATGTTGGCTAAAAAATGTTTCTTCTTAGTTGGATTTCATCAAAAATTTATTAAAATTAAATGAAATTAATTGAGTGGAAGGAGTTTTTAAGATGAAAATATTTTTAGTGCCAAAAGGATCTACTTAACATTCCACATTTTACCTGTATTTTTGCTTGAGTTGGTTCGAAAAGACAATACAAAAGACATACAAATGGGAATACCGAAACGATCATTTATTGTATAACAGGTCTAAAAATAATGTTAATGATTCTTTTTGCTTGTGGATTTCAAAAAACCCGCATACGTATTGAGAAATTTGTTTTTTATTTCGTTTATAGAATGATTCAGTGTATTAAATAAATAACAAAAAAAAACAAAATAAAAATACGTATTAATTTATTTTTGATGGTTAATGTATGGTTAAAATATTTGCACTTCCTCGCGAGACATCCTGTATATTAGTTTATATTCGTTTTTGTCAATAATAATAATTATATTCGTACTGAATGATTTTGTGTTATCTAACAGTTAATAGTGTTGGACTTGGTATAGGTAGTGTTTGAAAAAAATATGTAGGTCCCGTTAAAACAAAAACGATTTGAATAACAAATCACTTATTAATGTTTAGATTGTAATATTACGAATATCATGATTATTTAAACTTTTGACTATTAAATTAGAGAGTGCGGAAAAACCAAATGTTTATGAATTGTACAGGTAGATATTGAGAAACCAGTTCAACAAACACCATGTTTTTTAGTTTTAATACAAATAGCTCAATGATGAACCAGTTGACATGAAAACCTTCAGCAAGTTTTTTATTTGTTTGTGAGTACCGAAATTATTGATTATGCTAATTATTTATGTTCTGTAATAATTGCCATTCTGTATCAGTGTTGTTGCTACACTCTATTGAAATAGCGATGAATAACAACCACAGAATAATAATTCCATTCACAATTTCAACAAAGCGCAGTGAGATCACGCCAATCTTCTTTTTTTTTTCAAATAATTTCCCTTTTCAATTTTAGAACAAATATCAGTGTTATACTTTATATCCTAGTTAACGTATTAATTGCTTTAAACAATTTACACGTTAGGTGTAATGAATGTGATAATTATGTCGGAAAAAGTAATTGTCTGTAACTACAGTGAATGAAAACTGTCTTTGCAACTTGTGATTTCTTATTGTTACAATACTGAATGAGTCACAAATAAACATGTTACGTTTTTTTTTTAATAATTTTCCGAAATGTGTCAAAGCAAAATAAGAAAAAAACAATTTCCTTCCAACAGGGAGGACTAATAATCTGGTACTTTATTCCCTCTGGAGTAAAATAAAAGAAATATCAATTTTTACTCTTAAAATAAACTGGAATTCACTTTACTGGAAAATTTAATTTTAATTAAAAAAAATAACCCAAAAAACCGTAAAGTTTGTTCTGAAATTACAATAAATTCGGGGTAAGAGTTATAAAACCTAAATCATTTATTTGCAAGAGGAAAAGATCATCTCTTTTTTTATAAGTATGAATTACTGTCGAGAAAAAGTCGAAGTAAGGCCTAGATTTTTCAGTCAATTTTTCAGTATTGGTTACTCAGACTCTATTATTAAAAAAACACTTCGTAGTATGAGTTCGTAGTGTGAATTCTAAGACAACAATTTTTGGGATACTATTTATAAAAAAATGCATTAATAAAATATTTACTTGTAATTTTTTTGATTTTAACAATAAAGTTGACGTGAAATGAGCATACAAATTAAAACTGCTTTAGAATTCGAGAAAAAATCTCGCATTTGGTTGAATATTTTATTTAAACAAAAGGTCAATTTCGGACGATCATCCCTTCTGCTCTGTTTTTTTTTTTTGACAATCAGTGTGGATTGAAAATCGCAAAAGTTTCGCTGCGTTAAGCCCTTAAAAATTACACGTGGTGAAAGATGACGTCTTTAGTACGTTTTTAACATAATTGAGAAATTTATTTCAAATTTGAATTTGAATATTGGGTAAATTTGGTGAAAAGTGCACTTTAACAAAATATTTATAATCGGCATTATGTTCCACAACTAGTAAAATAAATTATGTTTGTTTGAGCGTAAAAGAAAAAACAACGGAAACCTCATACAAAAATATTCACCTGTAGCCCGCAGGTACAGATTGTTATGAATAATTGCAAAACACATGATTAATTTTAACTAATTTTGCTTTGCAATTAACCCTCACGGCCCGATGACTATTGAGTTATTCCATGTTATAGTTTTTTTACAATATGAAATCATGTTATTTTCAAACTTTCATATGAAAAGCATTGTATTAAGAACATAACAAATAACTGTACCTACTTGTTAAAGTGAAATGAAAATAACAGAAAAAGAAATTGTTCCATCTATCAAATTTTCCTTTGCAAATTGGCGCTTTTCACTTTAATACCTTTATATTGTTTTATATTATTATTATTTAAACAAAACAAAACACAAAAAAACATTAGACTTTGTATTTATTAGTGTTATTCTTACAGAGCATTGAAATTTACTGCCAAGGCTATTTTTGTAGGTCTATGGCAGTCACTTGTCAATAAGGAAATTAACAACCGGTCATTGCACAAAACTTTCTACTCTTCATAATCACAGGACTTACATTTTAAAATCCGTGTGTCATAAGTCCACCAATTGATTTTTCTCTTCTCCAGGCTTGACACTACCACAAAACACGAAACACCGAATCAAAGTGAACGAGAATTACACCTGCCAAGGCAGGCAATGGATAGTCCCCTCTACAATGCGCATCTCGCGGTTTTCTAGGGCACAAACCCATCTACCTCTTGTTCTATGAACTTGAAAGACTGAAAAATTTTACAAAATTGCTAAGAAATCGTATCATAAAACCCCAGTTGTCTTCTATTCGCATCCATATATAAAATTTTACTTGATGTTTTATCTATCGCATTTCACCGCTCTTTCTCTTTGATTGCTGTTAAATGAATTTGGAATGTGTAACGGTAAAGTACAAGGTTTCACCAGTGGCGCGACGAGGCCTAATTACTATAAAAAGAGTCCCAAAACTGCATTCGGTCACAATCCGGGTTTTTACCCATTTTCAATTCTCGCCCAATATCGAGGTAAAAATCACTATCGTGAGTTATTGGTTCCCAGAGGATATTCACAAGATCGGTTTTAACCGGTGTTGGATGACCGGTTTTTGCAAAATTCGTCCACATTTTCACAAAACGTTGCATGGAAATCTCCTCGATACTCCCTTTTTTAAGTCTAGGAGAAGCGAAAGAATTGAACAAGTAGGAAACGTCGTCTCCGTGACAAACACCCTCGATTTTTTCTTTAGGGAAGAAACGTCTTATAAGATGACCAGAAGAGTAACATTTGTACGAAAAAAATAAGCAAACGAAGGAACACACAACACATTTTGTGGTACACAAACTTTTAACTAAATTAATACTAGTTTCAACTGACATCCGATAGAGAAAAATCGGTGCCTTATTTGACAATTTCATGTAGGAAATTTGTCGGTGAATCCCATGCAAGAAATTATTGTCTGATTTGAGCGTCACCATTTTGTAACCTTTTCGTGAAATATGTTCTTCCCCGAAGTAGAATTTTTGGATTTTGAGTGCCAACTCTTTGGATTTTTTACTTCCTTTTTCACACTTCAAATCATAAGGAATTTCTTTTTCTAAGTCAACTTCTCGCTGATCGTTAAAAATTTTGATTGCTAACTGGTACAAAATACCTTCCCCTGTTGTATACCCCATTATCAATGGAACATTATTAAAGGTACCCTTTTTAAGGATTTCAATCGGTTGTTCTAGGAGAAACGCAGGTTCATTTGATGGTTTTTCCACCACTGGAGCAAACAACGTGACTTGATTAGGATTCATCACTTCATAATTTTTCAACTCATACTGGGCTTTTACTATTTTTTTGGCCGACAATTGTCGCAAATATTTCAAAAGTTTTTCTTCATCACTGTTCTTGAATTTTAACATTTGTGCCACAACTTTCGCATTTCTGGAACCACAAGCCCAATAGTTCAACGGAGAGCCACTTTGGGCTATCGCTTTGTGAAAAAGTCCCTTACACAAAGGTGACAAACATAAATAATTCACAGAAGCCGAACCAGCACTTTCGCCAAAAATTGTTACATTTTTCGGATCGCCATTGAAGTGTTTGATGTTCCTTTGGACCCATTTCAGGGCCAAAACCATGTCTTTCATGCCCGCATTGCCTGGAACTTCCAGTGAAGGGTCTTCTAGACACAGAAATCCTAGTATTCCTAATCGGTAATTGATTGAGACCAAGACAATGTCTTCACACATGAGATAATCAGGCCCGAAGATGTCTCTAGTGTTGCTTCCCATGAGAAAAGCTCCTCCGTGGATCCATACCATGACGGGTCTTAAAGAAGTGTAATTTTTTGTAAACACGTTTAGGTTTAAACAGTTGTTTTCTGAACCTACGTAAAACTGGAAAAACATGTGAGGTGAAGGACAAGCTGGACCTTCTTTAGTTCCGTTTCTTATACCTTTCCATGGTGTTTTTGGGATTGGAGCTTTGAATCGGAGGGGGCCGATTGGAGGTTCGGCGTAGGGGATTCCCAGGAAACTATAGAAAGTTTCTCCGAGGTAAGTTTTTGATTTTTTGCCACGGACAGTGCCTTCGTCGATGGTTACGAGTAATTTTGGCATTGTTTTACGTTTGATTTTAAAATTAATTAAGACTACAATTTTAAACATCAGTAATCAATTTGATTACTAATTGACACTTCTGACATTTGCATTTTTACGAGTAATAATGTCTCTCTAGATTATATAGGATGCATCGGATTTAGGTGACCGAATTTTAACCAACAAAAACTCACCAACATTTATTTTTTTCCTCCTAATTTGTTGAACAAAAACACGATTAGCCCGTCACACCAAACTTTTATTTAAAACACAAAGTGGTCATCCTCAAGTGAGAATAAATCTAATTTGTTGTTTAGTGTCTAACTGGTTGTCGTGTTACCTATTTCTGACACACTCTGTAATTTTAAAACCAGTTTCAGAGTCTGAAATGTTAATCAGAAAACGATGTTTTTATGTAAATTTTTGTCATCCCAAATTCTTGTGATTCAAATTAATCCGAACAATAGCCAACCTAAATTTTATTTAATTCACTGCTCGTGGTGAAGTATCGTTTAAAGTACCAGTAAAAGGCGTGGTACCACACCATTTTTTCGTCACAGTTTTTTGACAGCAATCACCGATTGGTACTTTCCACGTGATTTTTTTTCAAGAATTTCTGATACACAAATGAAAGTATTATTATTTCAAATATAAATATGTAGGTACAGAGTGTCTCAGCTAAGAAATTTTGCGGTTATTTTCATTATTATTTATAATTAATAAACAGAAAGTAATAATTTTACTAGCTGTAAATTTAAAAAGCGACAAATCCCTGACATAAACAGAAAAGTTATCTATTTTAATTCTTACAAGAAATTGTTCTGTTTATTTTACATAGTAATTCCCATAAGAAGAAATAGGGTGGAATTCTTTTAGATTTTTTGCAATTTGATTTAGCAGCTATTTTCTCGAACAATGGAAATTAAGTCTTCTCGCTGAAAACATATGTTTTCAGCAAGACGGGACATCACCACATTTTGGGATAGAAGTCAATTTTTAAATGACACTTTTAACGAAAAGTGGATAGATCGTCGAGGTTTGATTATTCAAACCTCCGAGGTTTCCTGATTTAATCCCGTTAGACTTTTTTCTTTAGGGTAATCCCAAGGGTCTATTTTAACAGACCGAACACCTTAGAAGAATTAAGAGAAAGAATTCATTCAGAAATGAGTGAATTAAATGAAAAAATTGCTTATGTATGAAAAATTTCAATGTTTTGTAATAAATTCCCAAAAATGTATAACATTTTTTTATGATTACTAGAAAGATAAAGGAATGTACCTACCATCAAAAATAGTTAAAAATATGTTGTCTTTAAAAAAAATGACCTCATTACTTAAAATCCAAAATGTTGCTATAGTGTTAAAAGTTAAAATATATTTATAAAAATAAAATCGATCTGTTCGAGGATTTTTTTGAAAAATAATATTATTTTTGGTTCAGTCTGTATACAGTGTTATTCACCATAGTTTCCGCGAAAATTTTATATTGTGCAACACAAACACAAACTTGTTTTGCAAATAGGGAATCAAAGTAATTTCATTTAAATCTCAAAATGACTAATGGTTCTCTATGTAAGATTATAAGAAGAAATATTGATGAAATCAATGTTAGAGAAAAACTTTAGAAACAGGAAACTTTTATTTTAATTTATTAAACGTCAGAAATGAACAAAATTAATGTAAAAGGTGCTTCTGTCTAATTCAGTTCTTCAGATCCTCAACATTTAAAATCGAAGTTTTGTAGTTTCTTTTTAATGGTGGTCAATCTCTGCGTAATTTTTCCTCTAATTATCTGAAAATTTTAGAGCAGGGATAACGCCGATTTGGTTACACATTACTATTTTTTATCATTTGAATATGTAGGTACAATAGCGAGCATAAAATTTTGGGAGGTAATGTCATTTTGAAACTTTATCTTTTTGTCAAAAAAGTAGTTTCCCTGTGTAATTTTGACAAAAGGGTATATTAGGAAATGACATTAACTACTAAAATTTAACAATGATGCCATCGAGCCATCGTGGATTATAAATTATTTAAAATTGAATCTAGGCGCTGCTTTAAACTGTATGTTGTATTGCATAACGTTAAATTTTCGCGGGAACTCTACGATGAATAACCCTCTATACGTATAAAACGCCAAGTGCCATTGTTATTAGATTTTATTTAAAGCATTGGTAATATTTTTGTAGTTATACTTAACACCTTTTTAATGTTTTACTTTTTTTTTAAGTTTTTGTTTGATAAGTGGTTGTGGAAATATTTACTACACAATAAAATATTAAAATATAGTCAGTTGATGTCTTATTTTTTGAATAACTATTTTCAATACACTGAGTTCAGTATAACGAAAATATCACTTATCTTGGGTTTATGGTTTTGACACTTAGCACACTATCAAATCTATTCAATCTATTCACTATTCAAAAAAAATAAATTTTAATGTTCAATAGAAATCGAGACAAGAATTGTGATAAAATTTACACCGGCGTTTTCAAAACAGTAAAAATTAACTTTGTCCTTTGTTTTCGAAAGTTTTTAGTAATTTTTTTTAGAAACTGGCTAAATTTTTGAAACGTCATTAATATTTTTGAGATGATTAGAACACTTGTATAATTAGGTAATTGTGATAGCTATTTTCTAAAGAGAGCAACCATTACGTTTTAATTTTAAAATATTATTCAGAAGTTTTTTTTGCCGCTCAATTAAGGTTGCATTTATAGCAACAGCTGTATTATTGTATCGCAATACTGGCACTTAGCGGGTTCTTTTAAGAACAATCTAATTTTAATTCGTCATGTCATACAGTAGATCTCTGAAAAAACGGGAAATGGTGTAAATAATTTCATCAGAAAAGAGCGAAAAAAATTACTATGCACATATTCATTTTCGTAAAAAACAAAAGCCCAAAAAATACAAATTTTCATTTTTTATGTAGGTATACTATGATCAAAGTAATATGTGATTTTGAAATTAAAATTGTCACACTGAATAAAATAGAGGCGAAAGATATGAAAATTGACACATTTCACATCTTTTGTCTCTACATTCTTTAATGTTGCCAACTTAATTTTAAAGTCACTGGCCACTTTGATCACTATAATAATACCAAACACATAAAAAGCTGTTTTACGACTAAATCGTTAATCACAACTATCACTAAAAACTATTTAATGGGGACAAACATGAATGTATATTTAAATTAGGAAAATTACCAAATTTTCACGGTTAACTCATCCATTTCTAAAAAAAATATTAAAAGTTCTCATAAATTATGATTTATTTCCTGTCAGCACTCATGACCGGAAACAAAAAATTTGACATTTCCTACAACAATAAATGAATGGCGTGTTTTATCATTGTTAGAAATGTAACAAATTACACCACGTATCAGTCGTGATGATAATTGCAGAAAACAAGTGGAATATTTTTCACACCGTAATGATAAGTAGCAAAAATAATGGCTATTTATAAATATCACACCTTGAATTTTTGCCCGTGACTCTGAAATTAAGTTGGCAACAATGAAAAATGTAAGCCTCAAATTTAATTTTAGCATCAGATTAACATTTTGTATCCACTAGCTTGCTCCAAGCTAACTGGGATCAACACCAAGTATTTCATATTCATAGGTGTTATTGCGAATTTTAGTAAAAATTGAACATAATTTGATAGTAAAATATGTATGCGCATTACGTATTACTTGTCCCCTCCATGTGCTTCCGCCCCTCCACCTTGCAATCCAGTGGAGGGTGTGAAATTGAAAAAGAGCGCGAGGGCTCCATTATTGATCGTCGGCAGTTAGGTGCTACACCCACCGCAGGGAAAATCTTTGTTTTGTCCATCATCAGGCACTTTCGAAACGTTTGATGCTGTTAACAACGGTGACATTATGAAAACAGTAGTGGTTTGATAGCTTGTGTTGTGTGTTACTTTTATCAACGAACGATGTCAGGTAAGCATGCGTTCATCTATTGTTGTTTTTCACTATAGCACAATTGTTCCGGTTAATAACTTGACTCGTTTCGTTATGCAACAGCCGTTATTTAAATGTATTGTACGAATTAAGCTGCGAGATAGGCATCTAAACGAAGGCATTTCCTACTTAATAACGCTGTGCCATCTCTGGAAATCTTATAGGTATTTATCATTACAAAACGAGATAAGAGTTAAAAAAATATTGACAATGAGAACTGAGTAGGTGTATCTGTGAATTTTTATTTACCAAACACATATAAAACGTTTGTTTGATGTAATTTTAGGCGCGGTAACGTTTAAGGAAGTAAATATAATATTATTATAAAATATGTAAATTCCGTTAAACACGCTTTCTAGAACGCACTAACATTTTTACGATCTCGTTAAGGTTTACATACATTTAATGGCAAATTAGTTAAAATAATGAGCCATAAATGAGCAAAGAATTTAATTGATTTGTTTCTTCACGAAGTCGTTAACGCGTGATTGAGACTGCATTTTTGGATAAAATGTGCAGATAAGACCGAACAATTAAATTAAAAGGAGTTTGATTCTCACGTAAGATGGTGCTCGAGTTGGCGCAGAGGATAGTTTTTGGAAAAATTATCAAAACGTGTCTTTGAGATCAAACTAGGGTTCGCAGCTAGTCCTGTTTATCAATGTCATCGTTTTGACGAGAAAATGACAAAATTGTAAGCACTTTTTGTAAACTTTGTGCCCAGAAAAGCAGGTCTCATTTGAAATCTATTCTCTTAAAAATTTTGTTTCCTTCTATTTTAAATAATGCGCCAGATTTGTTTTAGAAGTGGAACAAAGTAAGTTTTTTTTAATTGAAGTTTATTTATTGATTATAAGGAATTCTTAGGGAATTCTGGATTTTATTCCAAATTGTTTCCATTGTGTAAAGACTGTGAAGCTCAGTCATAAATTGTAACCTTCTAAACTATAGTAGAAAATTACTAGGTATTTTAGTAAAGAGGATGTTTTAACTTTGAATTAACTAGCTTGTTTGTATTTTCTTCTCCTAAGTGTGTGTTATTTCTTTAGCTTGTTTGTACTTATTATACAGGGTTATTCATAAATATGAAGCAATATTTGAACCTCAAAATGGAGCTATAAAATGATGTTAATTTAAATAATAAGTCGTGTCCAATCTCTATTGATAAGAATTTTACAGCCTTCGTAATGTGGGTATGGAAATTATTTTTTTTTGTAATAACTTCGGAACCATTTGACCAAATATTATAAAATTTGGAATAGTTACTTGCGAGAACATACTTTTTAATCTAGTAATTACGAAAACTGGATACATCTACTCAATTTCTGGTTCGATTCATTGCAGGTCATATTTTCTGTGTTTTTTCGTTTTTTTTTTGACTTCTTAACATTTTTTTTTTGGTCAAAACAATAGAGTAATCAATTTTGAATAAAAAATGCATATTATAGCCTTTAATACCTCTAAAATGGACAGCTTTAAAGATATTTTAATTTAAAGTGAGAACTACACAACACTGAAAGCAAAAAGTTTGAATTTTGAATGAGTGATATCCACGGCAACAAATGACCATGGTCACATATTTTTCTGTCAAGCATCTGTCACTTGAGATTGGACAATTATTAGACAATTAATCGAAAATATTTAATAAAAGAGTTTACCTCAGACTTCAAACATAACTTAGAATAAATCCGAATGGATCTCGTAGCATTTAATTCATAAAAAAATCACAAAAATTTATCGTCAAAGTTAAAAGATGCCTGGCAGGGATTTATGTGACCATGGTCATTGGTTGCCGTGGATACCACTTATTATAGACCACTTAAACGAGGATGTTTTAACTTTGAATTAACTATCTTGTTTGTATTTTCTTCTTCTAAGTGTGTTCTTCTTTAGCTTGTTTGTACTTATTATATCCCATTATTTTCTTTTCTAGATAGAAGTGACCGCGATTACATCGGTTTTGCCACCCTCCCCGACCAAGTACACCGCAAGTCTGTGAAACGCGGCTTCGACTTCACCCTCATGGTGGTGGGTGAATCCGGCTTGGGCAAATCCACTCTCATCAACAGCTTATTCTTGGATGACCTTTACAAAAATCGCAAAATTCCGGATGTCAGTGAACGCATCCAAAAAACAACCTCAATCGAGAAAAAAACGATGGAAATTGAAGAACGCGGAGTGAAACTCCGTCTAACCGTAATCGACACACCTGGATTCGGCGACGCTGTTAATTGTGAAGATAGTTGGAAAGTGTGCACAAACTACATTGACGATCAATTCAGACAATACTTTACCGACGAAAGCGGATTAAATAGGCGAAATATTCAAGATAATCGAGTTCATTGTTGTCTCTACTTTGTACCACCGTGGGGACACAGTTTGAGGCAAATGGACTTGGAGTTGATGAAACGACTACATCAGAAAGTCAATATTGTGGTGGTCATCGCCAAGGCGGACTGCCTCACCAGCTCAGAGATTGTGAAGCTCAAACAAAATATTCTCAACGATATTAGAGAGCACGAAATTCAGGTAATTTTACAAGTTTTATATGACATTAAAAATGCTACCATGTAGGTACTATGTGTAACAAGAAAACCTTCGGTGTTTTTGAAAATTTGACAAGCGTTTAAAATATTTTGAAAAAAAGTGCTTGTAAAGAAAAATGATTTAAATTGACACCAACTCTTACTTACAGTAATGAATTTACACAAACATATCTAATTCTTATTTAGAAACATCACAATTGAATTTTAGATGCATTTTCTTTTTCTATGTCGTGTATTGTAGTTTACCACGGACGGTTTTGGGCCAATTTTTTTATAATCATGAGCGGGTTTTTCTTTGATATAGGTACCGGGTGATAAGAATGACTGTTTGAGTTGGTATTTTAAGAACATTTTTTATTCTACTGTTTGTGACACTGCAATTACGTATCAGATGTTTAAAGTAAATAAGATTGTTGGTTATTAAAAAGGCTCGGATTATATGCACAGAAATATGCACAAAATATTAAAAAATATGCTCCATTATATGCCAAATATATGCAAAACTTTTAACAATAAAAAATCAAAGATGGGAAAAAATTATATTCTTCAGTACAATAAACTTTGTATTTTTGGTATTTTGAACTGCACACGATGAACGAAAGAGAATAAATCATTTGGTTTTGCCTCAGACCAGCTATTTTAATAACCCAGTAATTAAGCCTTTCTAAGAAATCTGTACTTTTCAGATCACATCACTTTAAACAATTTCGCTAAAATTCATTTGCAGGCAACTACTTCCGAATCCGAATGAAAAGATCATCACCAGGTAAATAAAAAGTATGGAACCACACGTTTTTTGCTTAAACTATTAATGGTGATGTTTAATCAAGAATAAATTTTTTCAAATTTTTTTTTTGTTTTTGAGTTGTACAAAAATATTTTTTTTAAATGGCAACCCACTAAAAAACCATTTTTCTCAAGGAGGTTATGATCTAAAGATTATACAACCATCTACTTTATATTAAATTTTTTCGATTTTTTTTTTACTCAGATAAAACCGCTTAATTCAAAGACAAAACAAAATTTTCTTCTCAAAATACGATCACATTTGTTATATTACTTTAATTTATAGGTATTAAGTATTATTTTCTGGAAGCAAATAATTTAAAAAAACCGTTTGGTTCCATACTTTATATTTACCCTGTATAAAACGAATCAAAAAAAGAAACACTCAGCAGAATACTAATTCTTTGAGTGCGGCTTACGATTTACCGGTTGTTTTCTCTGCAACAGATTTTTAATCCGATCATTTTTCTTAAACTGTCCAAAATCTGAACTAAAATTTTTAATCGAAAATTTGTGTTTTGAAGAAAATATGCACAAATATGCGATATTTCCTAAAATATGCACGAAGTTGTCAAAATATGCTAAGTTTGCATTTTTTAATTGGTTTATTTATATGCATAGAAAACTTACAATTTTGTTGATATACCTCTTAATAACAAATATGCATTTTGCATATAATCCCAGCCTTAGTTATTATTATTATTTTTTATTTAAGATGTCAAATAATGTTGTCAGGTTAAGCTGTAGGTAAACAACCGGAAACGTAACGGTAATTTAGTTATAATATAAATAATAAAATTGCCAACTCAAACTGTCATTTTTGACTACCCCGGTATCCTTAGTTTTTTTATACAGGGTGTTTTCATATTGTGAAAAATTGCACCCACCTATTCTACATCGAAAAATAACACAAATTTGTCAAATAAACCATAGTCCTATCAACCGTATTCGTTATGGATAGACAGGGTGATAAAGTTTCATGATAAAAATTGAAATCCATTAGTTACTTCCTCCGAAATCACTTGAGTTTTTCATAAAATTTTACCCGCTTTATGAGCAATTGAAAGTGTTATTATATTATAATTACTTTATTTTCAGTCTTACCAGTAACGTGCGCACGAGCACGTCTTTGAATATTTCTATTTTGTTATTAGTGTTGTTTTTCGATGCAGAATATGTGGTTGCAATTTTTCGCAATATTAAGAAAACACTTTGTACAATGAATTATCTTAGAATTATTTGAAAAAAAAATATTTTTAGAGCTCGTTCTGTTTTTATTTGGGTACCTACACAAAGTTTTTTAAAAACAACATTCTCTTTTTTTTTGCTAAAAATACAATGAGCAGTATTAAATAACGCACATTTAATTTGTCGTATAAGTATGCAAAAATAAGGCTTTATAACCCTCTAAAAACTGCGTGCTGTTTAAATAAGAGCGCAATTTTTCTTTTTCGCAAAAAAAGGGACAGCTGTAGGTGAATAAATCAGTTTTGTTGACTTAACTTTCTCAGGTCCCTATATAGTGTGATAACTTCGTTATTGTCCCACTTTGATAAGATACCACTTTCAAAAAATAATACAATATTATTTTCATGGAATCAACAGATGTATGAATTTCCCGAATGTGATAGCGACGAAGACGAAGAATTCAAACAACAAGACCGAGAATTGAAAGCAAGTGTTCCGTTTGCTGTTGTTGGCAGCAATACGATATTAGAAGTAGCTGGTAGAAAAGTCAGGGGTCGTCAGTACCCTTGGGGAGTCGTTGATGGTAAAATATGTTCAAAAAGTGAAACTTGAATTTAACACCAATTTGTTGTAGTTGAAAACCCAAAACACAGCGATTTTATTAAGTTAAGGACCATGTTAATCTCCACGCACATGCAAGATCTCAAAGATGTCACCGAAGATGTTCATTATGAGAATTTCAGAGCACAATGTATCTCGCAAATATCACAACACGCCAGAGAGAGGGGAAAATTGAAGAGGGATTCAGCTCCTTATGATTCTGATTGTACAGAAACCGATCGATTATTGCTCCAAAAAGACCAAGAGGTAATAAGTGCAGTTTGTCATTCCGTTATTAGGTATTTAATATTAATTGCAGATACGACGAATGCAAGAAATGTTGAACCAGATGCAAGAAAAACTCAAAGGCAACGCTTAAGGAACAGTATTATTGATATTTTCAAACAATTAGACGCTATAGTTGATGTTTTACCTACCAAAGACTTAATTTAATTTCAAGTTTTTTCATATTTATATGGGATTTATGTTATTTTATATGTTATTTGAATAAATATTTATTAGAACGATTCGTGTTTAGGATCTTTTAGTCTACATTCATTGCTTTTTAAAATAAATAGAGAAAATAACAATACTGCAACATTACTTAATAACCACCCACCAGGAACCTAGTATTAACTAGTTAATTAGTTAACAGTACCTCCATGCCACCCACTAACAAACATAACTTAAAATAATAATACAGAATTTGCCCCCTAGCCCGCCACCTCTATTGCATGGGTAGTGTCTATGTTGGTAGCAGAATTAACTAAATTGTGTCCACAACTATGACAGACGCAATAAATTTTATATGTGAAGTATTCTCAACATTTATAAAGTTACTTTACAAATCTTGAAGTATTCTAAACCGACTTTTTCAAAATTGTCATTGTTGATAGATACACTGAATAAGTTACACTTTTTCAATGATAATGTTGTTAGATACATTGAATAAGTTACACTTAGTCAATAATACAGAGTGGTTATAAATGATTTTCATCTAGCCAGCTTTGGATTTTTTTACATGTAACTTTATTTGTGCCGCTCTACTTTTTTGAAAGCTCTAGTTCTGTCATTAGTGTCACTTATTAATTAATAAAAAATTGTTGTTAATTAAATTWTTATTGTTTCAACTAATTTCCAATAATAATTGATAATAATGTATACTTTGGAAGAAAACAAGTTTATAATTGAAGTCTATTTTCGAAGTGGACGCTTAGTAAACGGCGATTTTTTAATTTTGAGTTAAAACAAGGAGGTACCCTTAATTTCGTAAAGCGGCATTTTTTATTTTACATGGAAAATTCACAGCTGGCTAGATGAAAATCATTTATAACCACTCTGTAGATATGTCCCTAAAAAACAATTGGATACTTAAAGTCGGATTTACACAAGTCAATTTTTACAAATTCACACAGGGAAGTGGCTACCATGAATTAACCGCGACTTTGATTATAATTCAATAACTGTCCCACAAATTTTGATTTACTTATATTATTAACTGAAGACATAAGGACATCACAAGAGTTAATTTATTTGAAAATATTTTTGAATTTTTACTCCAATTTCTAAGAATTGTTAATTGTTGATGTTTGATTTTTAAAAGTGTGGTGCCGGCCGTCGAATGAGAACCACTTATAAAGTGTCACAAAGCAACTTGCGAAAATGTAATGTTGGTTGCATCGAGATTTTGCCCAGGCGCATTATTCCTCGCGAATCAGCCAAAATGTGAACCGCCCTAATAAGATAAGTTATGGCGTGTGAATGCCTCTTTAAGGATTTGACGTCACCATATTTTGACGTTTTATGACTCATCAATCAAATATGGCGTCTGATAGATAGCACATCTGTCATTTCAAAAATTTAAGTGTGAATTTCGTCGTCATCCCTTGTAAACAACTAAGTTTGATCATGTTTTTGTCTATATAAACCGCATTCAGTGCTGCAACACTTAAAAAGATGGTCGAAATCGAATTCATTCAAAAAGAATACCCTTTACACTGGTTGGTGTGGCAGAACGATTATAAACAGTTGGATATTTTATTAAAAAAGAAAGAGGTATCAAATTCTCTTATTTAGTGTGTTATTTAAACTCATTTTCCATTTCAGGAGGATAAAGAAAAGTTGGATAATCGAGGACGAACTCCTTTAATGTTGGCTGTCACTTTGGGTCATTTAGAATCAGCCCGTTCATTATTGAATAACGAAGCCAATGTAAACTGTGAAAATGCAGATGGTTGGACTGGTAATGGGATTAAGATAAGCACAAAGTCGAAGTTTCATGTGATTTTGCAGTTGTACAGGAGGCAGTGGCCACAGGTGATCCAGAACTTTTACATATGGTGCTGGAACGACGCGATTTTCAACGATTTTCAAATCGCATGGCTGGCATTCCAGAACTGTTGCAAAAACTAAAAGAGGCGCCGGATTTTTACGTGGAAATGAAGTGGGAATTTACTAGTTGGGGTAAACACAAGCCCAAAAATTGTAACATATTGAAACAATTCTATTTATAGTACCTCTGGTATCAAGAATGTGCCCCAGCGACACTTACAAAGTCTTCAAACAAGGCTCTAATGTGCGAATAGACACAACTCTGTTAGGGTTTGACCACACGAGTTGGCAGAGAGGAAACAGAAGCTACGTTTTCCAAGGCCATAGTAAGTAATTTTAATTACGTAATTCAATTTACACAATTATATTGGACAGTTTTACAAATTTGCTCTGCAATAAGAGGCAAAAGGAGCTATATTTATAAACTAACAGAACCGGGTAATTACTAGAAGGCTTGAAGTAACGCAGTTGTTTTAAACTATCTATAATTCATGTAACAAGATAAATCACAATTTATCACAGGTGATGGAGCAACAATGATGGAAATCGACCATGACATCCAACAGGTTTATTGCGAGGAAATGAAGGCACCTGACGAAGCTTTAGGCGTTTTAATTCCAACCGAAGATTCGCTTTCTCAAAGGCTGACTACACCCATTGTCACTACTTATGTTGACACTGACAAAATCAGTTTTGAGAGGTAAGTTGATAACATTGCCTTTTATGAGTATTGATTAAAATTTTATGTAGGAACAAGGCGGGGATGTGGGGCTGGAGATCAGACAAAAGTGAAGTAATAAACGGCCATGAGTGTAAAGTCTTCAGTGCATCCAATGTCGAGTTAGTGACGAAAACGCGAACCGAACATTTAACTGAAAGCGATAAAGCCCGAAGTAGAAACATTAAAACGCCCTTACAGAATTTCCTAGGGATCGCGGAAGTTGAAGAGAACCAAGCAGCCTCAGCCCATCAAAACGAATATACAAAATCAAGCAATCCTTGTAATATAACTCCTGAGGAATATTTCGATTCGTCGGTAAATTTACAAAATCGAGACATTGGTCGACCTAAGGAAATTAATATTAAAGTGCAGAAATTCAAAGCGAATTTATGGCTGTGTGAGCAATACCCCTTGTCGTTGCCTGAACAGATTCTTCCAATTGTTGATTTAATGGCAATTTCTAGTTCACATTTTGCCAAATTGAAGGATTTTATACAGATGCAGTTACCGTCAGGTTTTCCGGTCAAAATCGGTAAGAAAATCACCCAAATTCCATTTGTTTCTTATTTTTGTGTTTTAGAAATTCCTCTGTTTCACGTGCTCAATGCAAGGATAACATTCGGTAACATTTTTGGTATAGATGCGGAAGTGCCACACGTCCACAGGATACAGGAAGAAGACAGACTTACGTGTGTTGTAGACGAGTGTATTTTCCAGTGTCCGTCAGGATATTCTCACATTGGTAATGGTAATGCATGGATCATTTTTTACGTTTTTTTTTTTCTTTTGCGTTAGACTTTACTCATTTCATCATCATTTAATTTTAAATCAATTAATTCGATTAATTTATGGAAAATTTCAGCTGCATCAGATGGCCGAAGACAGTTAAGTAGTATGGAAGAAGAAGATGATTTGTTACAATTTGCAATTCAGCAGAGTTTGATCGATGCTGGGACGGAAAAGGAAGAGGTGATTTTTCAAATTGTCTTAGTTTTTTTATTAAATGAATTGATAGGTGGACATTTGGGAGGCTTTAAAAGCCCAAAAACCCTCACGGCCTGCAACACCAAATCTCGTAGGTGAAGAGGAGAGGCAGTTACAAAGGTACAATATTTTTATACTTGATTACCATAACAATTCGAACATCTGTTTTAAAAATAATTAGGTGTTTGGTTTAATCAATTTTGTCGCTTTTTTGCTTAATTAGTTGCAAGTAATACTTTGTTGTAGAGCTATTCAAGCCAGTTTAGAGCTTTACCAAAAGAATACAGATAACAACGACACTAACGCCGCCGCTGATCCTGAACTAGATTCGGACCTGCACATGGCCCTCATGCTGTCAGAACAGGAACGCCAGAAGCAAGAACAGCAAAGATTGCAGGAAGAAAAAATCCTTGAAGAAATACTACAATTGTCGTTGACAGAGAAATAAGATTAGATTGAATTTAGGGCCAAAAATATACATTTTTAACGAAATTTTTCATACCTCATTCATATAGGTAGCAATAGTTTGAAATGGTAAAGCTCGGTTTTTTTTTGGTTGTCACTGCCCTGGACATTGACTTAAGAATCATTTCAAACAAACGTCCTACGTAACTTTAAATTCCAAATTACAAGAGATTTTTAACGTTGTTTAAATAAATTTTCTCCGCGTTATACTTAATGAGTTTCACACAGTTTCAATTTGATTGTTCCTATTGATATATTTATTATTTTTGATGTTAAAAAGTTTTATTTATAACGTACCACTGTAACTGGTGCTTTTACTGCAAGTTAAGTAACAACAGTAAATCATTTTTGTTTGTTAATGAACATGTACATAATCTTTAATAAAATGTTTCTTCCAATAAAACTTTATTTATAAAAGTTGCTTAAAATAAAACAAAATTAAATTAAACTTGAAAAAGCCTCTGATAATCTATACATATTATCACAATATTATTTCAAATCTACTTTCAATCTCAGTTAAAACCGACTATTTGGTATACAGTATTATGAATGAGAAGTGAAATATGTATTATTGCGTAAATTATAAAATACGGACACCTTAAAACGCCAGAAACTAATCACTCGGCGGCTGTAGCTGTAGTGTCTTGACTATGTGTTGATTCACGACCTAAGGAACTTCCAGGAGACTCTGAATTCTCATTGATGAGTCTTTGTCGTTCTCTATACATTGACACTCTAATATTCTCCAACTGGTGGTATCGACACAACTTCAAAAGTGCGAAAACCGACAGCCCTACCCAAGTTGCAAAAGAGCCCCAAACACCAAACTGCGCAGTCCCCAATTCAATGTAAAAGTTGGTGGTGTTAATACCATCCTGTTTATCAATAGCTTGGCCTGCTGCTAGTTCACATCTGGAATAAGAAATTTAGTGGTGTTAAGATGTGTTAATTGGCCTTACGAGGGAAATCGTTGCGTCATGTTTTGGCACCACACCATGAACCCTAAAGTAATCATCAACGCTGCTATTATAGTCATGCCACACAAGATAATGCCTGTGAGAACATCAAAGAACGCTGATAGGAAACTACTATCTGTACCTTTGTACAAAAACAACGACAAGCTGGAATTAAAGATGTTAATAGGTGTTGACACCATGGGGGCTTTTACTACCGATAGATTTGTACTATTGAGACTAAACACAATAAAACACCAACAAGGATTGTGTAGTTGCAGTAGCATTGGGACGCCCAATCGACTTTTAGTTGGCCATCAGCTTCCTGCCATACACCGGTTGAAAACAATAAGCAGTGACCCCTGAAATGAGTAGTGAGTCTCTTGTTGACTCAAAAATGGAAAGTACTAACCTGAATTCATCTTGATGTAAACTCATAGGGACAACTATACATAACGATAATATAAAAGCTATCACATAACCAGCGATTTGACTAAGCAAAACGATATTACTTAATGCCATCACTTTGTTTTGCTTTTACGCCTTAAAAATACATTCAAAGAAATTTGACGTTTGTTTTGACTAACAAATGACAACTGACAGAACCAGAGCCACCAACCACACGCATAAATACTAAAATCAGTAAATAAAAACTTGTGAGTGTTCTCTCGAAGGCCCTATAAGCAATAAACGTTAACACAACAGTAAATACATAGTTAGTTATTTAGTGCCTATGATCTACTGATTTTTTATTTATTTTGAATCATCACGTTGGTAACACAATTTCTCATTAATGGTGGGCAATTCAAATTAAACTTTTGTTTTTTTAAATTGAATAAAATATAATTTATTGTACAATAGATTACATTTTTACTAATACAAAAAAAATTAAATTCGCCGTCAAAAACACTTCATTCCGTCATAAATCTACGCTCCCTTAATTAGATTACACAATAAATTTTTAAAGTGTATAAAAACTATTCCATTGCTTCTTGTGCCCTAAAAAATAACAATTATTATAAATAAAATTGTGTGTATTTTATTGTACTTATTGTAAATAGTTTGGAGAATCTGAGTACTCATATGGTATCGTTCTTCATTTTTAACAGCAGTTTCTATCCACTTCTTTTTGACTTTGACCCACCGTTGTAGGTGATTCCTGATTAAAATATCTTTGGGAACAGGTGGACACTCATCCTGAAATACACTGAATGAATCAATTAGTAATTTATCAAAATTACTTACATAATTTAAATTAATGTTGTCTTTGTTTTGTTCCTTTTGTTCTGGCAACGGTGATGGTATTCTACTGATGACAGGTCCCATAGGTGGTGGTAATCTGTGCAAGTCTGTCATCATACTAGAATTCCAGTTGAATTCATTTGGTTCGGGAGACGACAATCTGCGCCTAAATATGTGTTGAGTACTTATTTTTGGGTTATTAACACACTTACTTAACAATTGACTGTGGATTTCGTGGTTGATTTTGCATCCAAGCCCTGCAAATGGGGTACAGGGGAGTGTCTTCTTCAAATCTGGCCAAATCTACGCTTCTGTCAAATAATTTCATAACGTAGGTGTGACGATAGGGGGTTAGGACAGAATCGCCTTTACGCTTACGGTTGTCACTACAAAATGCAGGTGAAAAATGTACCAAGAAATTTATTAAAAGTAAAATTACTATTTGGAACTCCGCTCATCAGACGAGTCACTATCGGAATCACTTTTTTCAGTGAGTTGTTTGAGGACGCCTTTGAGGCGACCTTTTGCCATTAAATAATCATTACCCAGGACGTTTTCCTCCTTCACTTCCACTTTAATTGGGCTTAAATTTGTAGAAAACTTACGTTTTTTGGTCATTTTTTCAAATTGCAACAGTCGAATGACGGTTATGTTGTGGTTATGTTCCAAGTTCCAAGCGTCAGTGCACAATAGTGACAACACTGCTAACGTGGTGCCAACCAAAACCCGACAAACTCACAACAAATGTTACTATGGCGAATTAATATTTCCGATTGTCAAATGTCAAAAATGTATTTCCCGCGTTTAAGTAGCCATCATGTAGCCATTATCAGATATGATGGTGTGGTTGTGTGGTCGTTTGTTTTTCGTGAATAAGGGCCAAGAAGGGGGTTCCATAGCATAGATTGTAAGAAATAATATAAAAATTGTTTTGTTATTGTATTATGTAATCCAGTTTTGTTTTGCTTTTAGAGTCGAATGATTTCACAAGGGACGAAAGTGAGATCCACAGTGATCGTCTCAAACAAGCATGTTTTTATGTTTTCCAAGGACCCTGCGTAGCATCAGCTGTGGAGGAACATTTGCAAGATAAGTACCAAAGTATCAAAAATTCTAAATATTTTTAACTTTGTGAGGATTGTTTTGACGAATCTGCCTTTGTGAATGAGGAAAGATCGTTTAAATGTTGGAGCAGTACCACTTATCTATATCCAAAGAGCGATCTAACATTTCGCTGGCTTGGTATTATAAGGTTGCATGTGCCATTTTAGGTTAAACGTAATTAAGTATTTTGTTACTGGTAAAAACTAAACCATTATTGATTTAGCTCTGGTTTTCCATCAGTAAATATGAAAAAAATTATACTTTTTTTTGTTGAAAAAGTAGAACTATATCTGCCCGTGTGCAGACCTTAAACATTGCGCCCCTCTACTGCCATGAAATTAGAAATTAGTTAATTAGTAATGAAAAATTACTGATTAAAAAAATATTCTTAAAATAAAACATTTGGTAACAAGTGAAAAAAAATATTTAAATTTAACACTTTTACATACGGCATAATAATATGTATAATTTTTTATCCTCTTTTTTTATTTAATTTGTAAACGCCCTAATAATTTTTGCAAACATATTTTATTAAAATAATAAACAAAATTAATATAAATCTATCTTTTGTGCTTTAGTATTGGCAAATTCTTTTATAAATTCTTCTAAATTTATCTTGTTTATTATTTCACTTTCCACTGCAATAGTAGCAAGATTATTTAATCTATTTTGAGACATTGTCGTTCTTAAGTAATTTTTGATAATTTTTAATTAAGACCTTCCACCAGAGGCACCAGTTTCAGGTAACGTTAATAAAATTATAATAGCAACAGAAATATTGGAAAATGCAGGTACTTACTAAATTATTTTCAAAAATATTTTGTAAAATTTGTTGTGGATCTAACTCTGAGCCTAAAGGTTGAAAGTAAATAGTAATAAATTTATTTCATTAAATAAATCAATACCATCAAGATCTGATTCACTACGTCCATTATCTTGTAAATGAATATGCAGATATCTGGCTAAAGTGCAGAGTATACTTTTTTCGTATTCGACAGATGGGCTGTCATATTGTATACTGCGAACTTGTTTTTATAAAAGAAAGAACCTATTTCAGCCTTAGGGCAGCTGAGACGTTTTCTCAGTTAAAGCAGAGTACTGGTATATTTTTCCTTCTTTTTCTCTATTTCGTTCCTTTCTCATTTTTGTCTTTTACCTTCCAGTGATCGTCATATACACTTTTTCGTTCTTTAGACATTATATTCTCTTTTTTTTTTAATAAACGAATTTTCTCGTAGAGGTCACACCTATCTTTTTTGGGAATGTGGGAATGCAGATTGAAATTGTTGCAAAATATGGCTCTGTATGCAAATTCCTTGCACATTGATTTCTTAGGTTGCGTAACCTTTCTCAATGCACAGTTTATATAATTTAATTCCAAATTTATGTCGTTTATTTTTTATAAACTATCGAAAGGACAGACGTTCTCTAAATGGAACGAGTGTCTCGTCAATGAATATGGCTTCTTTTGCTGTTATACCGTTGAAAATTTTTAATGAGCATATTTATCAGCGGAGATATTTTTTGCAGTCTATCTTTTTCGCTAATTTTGGAGGTAGTTATGGGTAGACGGAGTGGTCACTTATCATAACAGATCAGGTACTTGGTTATATTTTTATTTTTTTTTTAGAAATTGTACAGTGCCCCTATGTACAATCCATTTCATAAATGCTTGGCCCATCGGCTTTCAAACCATCTATTCAAGGCCCACCATGCCGAATGGATGAAGGATTTACGTCGCCGATGGCTGTAGAACGAGAACAACAATTTCAAAACTATCGAAAGGACAGACGTTCTCTAAATGGGACGAGTGTCTCGTCAATGAATGTGGCTTCTTTTACTGTTATACATTCATTTATCATAACAGATGAGGTCAAAATTTATAAGAATCTGCGCGCTGAAGGCAGAGGGGATAAAAAAAATAATAATAATAGGAAGAGCCGACATCGAAGAATCAAAAAGCGTCATTGCTATGAAAGCTAAACATAATCACAATTTAAAAATTAAAAAATTTATTGATTACAAAGAACTTTAACGAAAACAAAATGATTCTTCTAATATTAAAAACAAATACATTTTATAACATAACATAAAATAATATTTATAATATAACATAACTATAACTAAACTATTGTACAAATTAACACACACTTTCCTGAAACCAATGTTCGGAGATAAATGGACGATAAACTGTTGTTAAAAATTTATGATAATAGTTTACGCCATTTTTTAAATACAATCATATTATTATGTCGTAACTAATCGTCGTCATTGTCATCATTGTAAAATCGACCCACTGGATATGTTTTATTGGTTGTAGTCGTTTTGAAATTCATTCCAGAAGTTCTGTGTTGGTCAAAAATTGATACTTTCAGTCTTAGTTGAGATTCAGTATGAAATGGATTTTCTGTCTCCAAGTTTGTGACTATCGGCACTGGATCTTCCAGAATATTCTCTTCAAATTCCGGTAAAGTAATCCAATCCAAATCGTCAATATTTGCTTCATCGTCAATGTTGTGAGGAATAATCGGTTCCGGTCGTTTGTTAGTTGCTTGCCTTACGGTGGGTAGAAGTTCTCTTGTCGTCTCAACATTTTTAAATACTACATTTCTAGTAAACATTCGTCCATTACGATGTTTAAATTTTCCGTCTGTAATAATTTTTTAAAATTTTCTCCTATTCCTACTCGACTCATTGCAACATGTAACTGTCCGTGTACAAAGCAGGGTTCCATCAAGGTATTTCCTTTTTTTTTTTTTTGAAATGTCTAACTTTGATACTTATTAATTGTTATCACAAAAACCAATTTTGCAGGAAACTGTTGTCTAATAATCGGACTTGGTAATCCTGTGCCTTCTGTGGCTTTTGTTTTTACTTTAGGTAACGTAATTATATTGCCTTTGCCTTTACCCGAAAGCACTCTTGCTGTCAAAACGTAATCTTTTATTTCCAGAATTTGTAAGCGTGTACATTACAATTGTTCCATTTTTAAATTTAAGCTTAAATGGTGGTAAACACACTGTTTTCACACTGTGAAAATTATCTTCTGGATCCGATTCATATACGTCTTGACCGTAAAATATCCTTGTCTCTCCCGGAAGTAAATTTAAATTTTTTTCGTTCATTTGGTGCACAGATACGTTTTTAGGACAGAGTAAAGTCCCGCACGATGAGGTAAACGATCGTCGTCAATGACATTAAAATTGATGTCTCCATACACATGCTCCAATAGAGCTTCTAAACTATAAACTAAATATTGTTGCGGTATTTCAATAAATCTTTTGGAACACCAAAATGGACATCATTCATTTTTGCTCCTGGTACTCTTCCTTCTCCAATGTATTGTTTCCATTGCAAGTGCTGCGTTCTTATATCTCATATTCTCTGTTAATTTCAATACTTTATTCCAAAATGGGAGCACCTGAATGCATTCCGTTTGCAATTACACTGCATGCGCTCTTGGTGCAATAGGCAATAATTGCCTGAAATTTTCACAAAACACAAAAATTTTGCCCCCAAATTCCTTGTCAACGTCTATTAAGCGTTGTAGATATAGGTAGATTGCCAATATTGCATTTCTTGGAGCTATTGACGCTTCATCCCAGGTAACTAAACTTTCATTCAGTACTACCTTCTCTAAATCCTCCAATTGTGTATTCTGTCACTAGCAATGGCAACCGAAAAGATTTGTGCACTTGTGCACCGTTTTTTCTTCATTTAATAATGTTGCTACCATTTCAGTCCACGCCATAGCGATGTAAGTTTCATGAAGACGTTTTTTTGTCACACGTTGTAATACGTTGTAAATATACGTTTTGTCGGTACCTCCTGGACCATCCACATAAAAAAAAAACATTATTTGCATTTTTCCTCGTTTGGAAGTATTCTTGTAAAGCAGCTATTATTGCATTATATGTTACCACTTGGTCACGATTTAAAAGAACAAAAAATGTTTCGTCAATTTCTTGATTGTCGTCTTGTGCAGTTGTATTTCTTTCAGTGTTTTCTATTAAATCCGCAAAGATAAGTGACACTGTTCGCAAAAGATTTTCTTCTAATGTAATTATAGGCAATTCTAAATCTTGCATGGATGGAAGCAAATTGCTTCGTTATTTTTATATGATGAAGTGCTTTCTGCTCTGCAGCTTCTATACTATCTCTGTCTGTATTGTCGTTGAAAATCGTCAATCATATAATTTTTGTACATTGTATAAATACATATTTGCCACAAAAGTCATATCGGCATCTTCGCTAATCATACATACGATACATAATGCAAATAGTTCTCTTATTTCAAAGACACGTTAGTATGAATTGTTTCGTTTAATGCTTCATCGTATTTATTCGTATCGTCTAGTACAGTGGTCGGCAAACTCATTAGGCCAGAGAGCCAAATATTAATAGTAAGTCAATTGAGATATCTTTTGAGAGCCAAATTTCTTAAAATTAAACTATATACGGGATGAATATAAAGTATGGAACCAAGCGGTTTTATTTTTATCATTTCCTTCCAGAAAAAAATAATACAAATTAAAGTAATATAAAAAATGTGATCGTATTTTCAGAATGAAATTTTGTTTCGTTTTTGAGTTATGCGATT